CGCCCGGTTCCCGTCACTGTTGTCCCCGTGCAGTGCGTTGCTGGTCCCCAGGACCAGCTGCTCGTTTGCTGTATGGGTCAGTTTCTGCTTCCTGCCCCCCACTCCACCTAACTGCAATCCTTGGGGTTTCCCTGGTTCTCGTCCCTGGTACCTCTGTGCCCAAGAAGTAGCCTTCTTTGGGATTCTTGTTCTGCCCATGCGGGAGCTGCTGCTGTCTGACAGGTGAGGCCTGAGACTCAGCGGCTGACAGAGCTGCAGAGCTCTGCACGGTGGCTCCCGGGGCGGCCTCTGTGTGCTGCACACCGCTGCTCTGCTGGCACTGGCCAGTCTGTGCAGAGCATTTGAGTACTGGCTCAGGAGGGAGGGCTCTGCTGGCCTCGAGGGACAGCGCCACGTCTCCAGCTGGGCTCAGGGAGAGCCCCAGACTGGCTGCGTAGGGTGCTTGGGGTTTGCTTCTTGCAGTATTTCTTTGAAGCTGTTTTGTTGTCCTGCTATTCCTTCATCTTCCACAGTCCACGCTCAGCCTTTAACTTGGATCCCTCACATAACAGGGTTCATGAGACCCGCAAGTACGCCCAAGCTACGTATGGCTGAGGCCAGCTGGCAGGTGAATGGCACGCCATTGCTGCTGCTAATCCCTGGCATATCTTTAGTTCACCTCGAAATGCCCCCGCCACAGTGCAAGCAGTGAGTCCACGTGCCACCCTGGGCTGAATCCCACCCCCTGTGAGTGTTGCCCGAGATTGTGTCTCTTCTGAATGCCTTCACTGGGAATGGCCTCTGCCGCCTCCTGCTCAGGGAGGCTTTCCCCTTCCCTCAGCCCCTGTGCCAGACTGAGGTACAAGAACCGCCAAGCCCATGGAAGGTGTGGCTAGGCGCCAGGGTGCAGGAAGGAGGCAGGTAGCTGCCTGCACCCTTGAAAGCCAAGAGGCCTACGGTGGCCTCCATCCTGGCTTGCCTCACTTCAGCTACCTCGCATAGCCCAGGGGTGGGGCTATTGGATTCCAGGGTGGGGGGATGGGAAGCTGCAGGGGGCAGGTGGCTCTCACTAGGCTTCCCAGCTCAGGAATGTGGGCCTCAGGTAGGGGAGAGCCTTTGCTCCACTCCACCCATTTGCAGGCATCTAGGCCAGTCTAGATGGCGACCCCTTCTCTTCCTCTCCATTGACCAAATCGTACCTGTCTCTCCAGCTGCTCCGCTTGCTCTGCTTTCCAAAGTCAGCCCAGGTACCCAGGTGCCGCCCACATTGGCCTGGAACCTGGACCAGAGGCAAGGGAGGTGGCCTATCCTTGAGTGATAGCCAGTGCCTTCCTCACCCGGTGGCTTCCATGCCTGTGACCTCAGATTTAGGACCAAGAGCTGTGTTGGTTTCTTACGTTGTGAGCTTTCCCTCCAGGGGACCACAGCAGGTGAGGCTCGGAGCCCAGAGCCCTTGGCGCCGCCAGCAGTAACTTGTGTCCGGACCTTGTCCAGCTGAGCGCTTCGTGTATGACTCAGCTTCGTGTGTGAGTCCAGCGGAGTGCGTCACGTGACCTAGACTCAGCGGTGTCAGCCGCACTTTGATTTGTTTGTTTTCCATGAGGTTTTTGGACCATGGGCTTAGCTCAGGCACTTTCTGTAAGAGAATGTTACTTCTGTAAAGATGCTTATTTAACCTACGCCTGCCTCCCCCACTCCCAACCAGGTGGCCACCGAGAGCTCACCAGGAGGCCAATAGAGCTGCTCCAGCTCTCCCATCTTGCACCGCACAAAGGTGGCCGCCCCAGGGACAGCCAGGCACCTGCCTGGGGGAGGGGCTTCTCTTCCTTATGGCCTGGCCATCTAGATTGTTTAAAGTTGTGCTGACAGCTTTTTTTGGTTTTTTGGTTTTTGTTTTTGTTTTTGTTTTTGTTTTTGTCTACTTTTGGTATTCACAACAGCCAGGGACTTGATTTTGATGTATTTTAAGCCACATTAAATAAAGAGTCTGTTGCCTTAGTTGTTTCTGCGCTCCTGGATGCATCCAGCCCCTGCGTCATCACCCACTCGCTGGACGTGCCGCAGCGTGCCGTGCCCACATCCGGCATCTTGCACCTTTCAGACCGCCCGTAGCGCCGCGGGCACCTGCGCTGGAGCCGGCAGCGCTGACAGGATGCTCACACACAGGCTCCTCGGAGCTGGTGCTGCTCACAGGCTAAGGAAGAGAAAGGTGCTTTTAGGTTCAGAAAAGTCTGGTGCTGGGGCCGGTGTCCCATGTGGACTCTGGCTCCACTCTGATCCCGCTCTGCTAACGGCCTGAGAAAGGCAGAGGAGGCCCTGCCACCCACGCGGGAGACCCGGACGGGGCTCCTAGCCCAGCACTGGCCATCATGACCAGCAGATGGAAGAGCTCCGTCTCCCCCTGTAACTAGGACTTCCAAATAAAATAAATCTAAAAAGAAAAAAGGTATGCTGCCCTGGGAGAGAAAGGAGGCTGCTGCCCAGATACCCCAAAGGGGAGTAGAAGTTTCCTTCAGTAATGAAGGCGGAGGGAGCAGTGCAGCCCACAGTCCGTGCGGCAGGGAGAAACACTGAAGGTTGTCAGGTAGGGACTTGTCAGTTCCAGGAGCAAGAACACCAGTGCTAGGCATAGGCCAGTTGGGCTTAGGTTGAGATGGATGGACGGGTGCTGTTACCATTACTATTTGGGCCTCCACCGTGGACAGGATCCTATGACACTCACCCCCCGCCCCCCACCGAGGGGAATGTACAGGGACCTCCAGGTTCCTTTGATTTTTTTTGTAAGATTTATTTATTTATTTGAAAATCAGTTACACAGAGAGAGAAGGAGAGGCAGAGAGAGAGGTCTTCCATCCAATTGGCTGCAATGGCTGGAGCTGTGCTGATCCAAAGCCAGGATACAGGAGCTTTTTCCATGTCTCCCACATGGGTGCAAGGGCCCAGGGACCTGGACCATCTTCCACTGCTTTCCCAGGCCATAGCAGAGAGCTGGAACGGAAATGGGGCAGCTGGGACTCGAACCGGTGCCCATATGGGATGCCGGCACTGCAGGCGGCGGCTTTACCCATTATGCCACAGTGCTGGCCCCTGGTTTTGTGTATTCCTTGAGAAGGCCACATTCTTTATTCTTTGGGGTTTTGTTTTTTTGTACAACTTCAAGAGGCAAAGAGAAAGGGCTCCTGTGTGCTGGTTCACCCCTAAATGTTCACCAGGGCTGGTGCTGAGCCATGCTAAGGCTGGGAGCCCCAAGTACAAGCCAGGTCTCCCATCAGGTGGCAGCCATCACCACCGCCTCCCAGGGTCTGCATTAGCAGGGAGCTGGAGTCAGGTAGAGCCCCGTGTGGAGCCCAGCCTGCAGGCTAAACACCCACGCTTGCGTCCCCTTTTTTAAAGATGTTTATCTGAAAAAGCAGGATGACAGAACTTCCATCCACTGGTTCATTTCCCAAATGTCTACAATGTCCAGGCTGAAGCCAGGAGCTAATTCCGAGTCTCCCACATTGGGGGTAGGAGCCCAAGCACTTGAGCCATCTTCCATTACTTCCCAGGTGCATTAGCTGGGACACAAACCAGCACCCATACGCAGGCAGCAGCTTAACCTGCTGTGGCACAACACTGGCCCCAGATTGACGTCTTGCACACCCCTACTAGTGCCTCAAGCCTAGGTGTTAAAGCCAAGGCTCCCCTGGGAGACTGGTGGCCTCACTCAACACCCCTATCTCTTGAGACCTGGGTGATCTGGCAAGGCTGGGACCTGGTGAGTGCCCTGCTCTCTGGGCCTCTGCACACTGAGAGTTTCCAGCAAGAGCAGCTGCCTCTGCCCTATAGCCAGCATCCTGATGGGTTTGCATTCTGTGCTGGCCATGCTGGACACAGTGTCTAGAGGAGATACGGTCTCAACTTGGAGCTTTTTTTGTTCATTTGTATTTGAAAGGCAGGGAGAGAGGACACTCGCAAATGCCCACAACAGCCAGGGCTGGGCCAAGTCAAAGCCTGGGAGCCCAAAGCTTAAACTAGGTGTCTGGTGTGGGTGGCAGGGACCCAGGTACTCCAAGCCATCCCCTGTTGCCTCCTTAGAATGCGCGTTACAGGATGCAGGCAGGACTCCAACCCAGTCCTCTGATGTGGAATGCAGGCTTCCCAAGCTGTGTCAACCTCTGCACCAACTCCTGAAGCTTCTAAACGGAGCTTGAGGCTTCTGTCCCAAAGGAAGCAATGAGGGTGGGCGCCCCAGAGGTGCTCCTGGGTCCCCTGCACTTCCCTGCTGTCTTGCCTCTCCAACTCCATGGTTATTGAAGAAGTCTTGAATTAGTATCTCCCGTCTGAAAAGTCTGAGTATTGGAAGCATGGGAATGAGGCCTGTGCTGGTGCCCGCAGAAACAAGCCCTGTCTCGCCACCGGCCCGGGGGGTGGGCCGGGTGGTGTGTGCTGCTGGCCAGCCTGGCCGTGGATGAGCCTCTCCTGGGACAGCCGATGCTGCTCTGGAGACCTGAGCTGTGAGCCTCTGCCAGCTCTTTAAGCAGCTGCCCCACTGATGACCCTCCCGGACGGCACTGGCAGGCCGGCCAGCCTCTGGGCGCTCGGGTTTCCCTCCTGGGGCCACCTCTCTGACCTGGTGCTCCCACACCTGTCTCCCAAGCCTGAGGTGGGGGAGGGGTCTTGCCACTTTGGCGGCAGCAGCAGCTACAGCCCCCATCACTGACTGCCAGGAGGTCTGGGTGCTGAGTGGTGCCGCCCTCTGAAGACTATTGTTTACTCAGTAAAATGGAGCCAGCGGTGCCGACGCCTCCCTCCAGGGCTGTTCTGGCCGTGGCAGGGACGCGTCTCCCCTTTCAGGTTCCTCTCACTGGTGCTGCTTACGCTCTTTCCCACTCCGCCCCCTTCTGACAAAGCCAGCACCATTTTGTAAGGGGCTGTACCTTCTCTCCCAAACTGACAGGAAAGGGAAAAATACGTAACATCGCACAACCAAGAGGATCGCTTAAATTTGGGAGGAGCTCAGGTGAGGGAGAGAACAACTTAGTAATTGCGGGAGGCTCCATCCCCAGCGCTGAAGAAGGTCACTTTCCCTTTAAATGCAAATTACCTCCCGCCAGCTTAGCCTCCGCTGTTTGCGTGGAGAGCGCGGAGGGCGGAGGGAACTTGCACAGCGGCATCACTCCAGACCCCAAACCTCCAGGTCAGTCCCCCTACCCGCCCGGGAAGCCCCGGGGGAACCGAATGACCAATGGAGCCCCGCTCCTGAGCTGAGCGTCCATTTGGCACATGGCTTTGGAGGCTGAGCGTGGGAAATCCATCCTGGGTTGCCACAGCCACTGCTGGGGAGCCAGGGCTCCTGGCTCAGTTCTACCAAGTCCCTCACTGGGCCAGGCTGCTGCGGGGAGGGCCAGGGGTGAGCTCCTCTCCTCCCTCCAGGGCCAGCCAGCTGTGTGGCGACTGAAGTGCTCATGCCCCATTGCCACCACCATCCCAGCTTGGGAGCGGAAACCTGGTGGGAGACTCTGGGCAGAAAGGGGAGGACGCCATCCAACTGACGGAGGCTTAGGGAGCCCGGCTGGACTGCAGGCCGGCACAGCCATCATCCCATCATCCCAGGCGCGGGCGACACAGCTGCGGGAAGCTGAGAGGGGACTTGCTGACTGGGAGTCTGGCCCAGGCAACTTCTGGGAGTCCCTGGTGTTCCCGGATGGGGGAGGACGGGGGTGCAGGGATGCCAGTGTCTCCGTAGGAGGAACCCACAATAAGCCGGGCCCCATGTGCCACCACTTCTGCCATTACCCTGCTCCACACCACCGGGACCTCCCAAGTGCCTCTGCCTATGCCTGCAACACTGCCCTTGCTGACTGGTTGGTGAGCACCTGCCTAGGCAGTTGCTAAGTACAATGGGGCTTCAGTAAGACACCTCTAACCCTCAGCTGAGCTCCCGGAGCTAGCTCGCATCCACCCTGTCTCCCCCCACCCACATTTCCTCTGCAAGCCCCACCCTCCCGGCCAGGGACAGGAAAGCCCAGCAGCCCTGGGACAACAGTGTCCTGTCCAGCCCTTTGGGGCAGGGCCTAGTTGGCAGGCTGCAGGGGAGTTAGGGCTTCGGAAGGCCCTTCAGACCATGGGTCACCCATGATCCCAGCAGCAGGCGCCAGCATCTGGCTCTACAGTACAAAGGACAGCTCTGTGGGGACAAGTTATGAGGGCCTAGCCGCCCCCCCACCCAAGACTGCATTGTCCCTCTCGATTACAAAGGGCCCAGCCATCACCCGATGGATGACAAGAAGAAGAAACGAAGCCCCAAGCCCTGCCTGACCCAGCCAGCCCAGGCCTCGGGCACGCTACGCAGGGTCCCTGTGCCCACCAGCCACAGCGGCTCCTTGGCCCTGGGACTCCCTCATCTGCCTTCCCCAAAGCAGCGCACCAAGTTCAAGAGGTGGGTACAAAAGGGAAGTAGGCAAGAAGCAAGGAGCTGCCGCTGTGGGCAGAGTGGTGGAAGGAAGACGAGGGCTGCCTTCTGCCTTTCGTGATGTGGGTGCCATCCCTGGGGGTTGCCGCAGTGGGCCCCAGCACTCAGAGGGGGCTCAGACCCAGCCCAGCCCTCCAGCAGGTGGCAAAAAGGCCAGGTGGGTCACCGGACCCACACAGTGTAGGGATCAGCTCAGGGGAGGGCGTGAGCAAGCGGGCCAGGGAGTGAGTCAGAGAAGGCTGCTGGACACGCGGAGAGGCTTGGCTGGCAGCAGCGTGGAAGGAAGCTGTTGGCAGGGAGGCTCTGGGAGCTCCCTGATGTGTCAAGGACAGGAAATGGTTAAGAGGACGCCTGGATGCACAATTTGAATATTCTGCTGAAGCTTTTTAATGTTGTTAATGCCCTTTTTTATTTGAAAGAAAGAGAAGGAGAGAGAGAGATCTTCGATCTTCTGGTTCACTCCCCAAATGCCCACAAGAGCCAGGGGTAGATGCGTCAGGCCAAAGCCAGGAGCTGAGATCTTAATCTGGGTGTCCCATGTGGGAGCCCCAGTACAGGAGCCATCACCTGCTGCCTCCCTAGACGTGCATGAGCAGGAACCTAGACACCCCACTAGGGATGAGGGCACCCCAGCTCATAACTTAACCACTGTGCTAATTCCTGCCCCTGAATTTTTTTTGAATGTTTGGGAATTGGCATCCCACCCTATAATGTCTCCATGTTTATTCCTGCTAAATACACGTTCTTTGTCCCCTTGTCAAAAATCAGTTTCCCCAGTTTTGCATACCACCTGCCCGAGCCGCACAGTCAGGCATGGTCAAAGCACGGCATGGCTGACGCCCAGGGCTGGGGTGAGTGGCAGGAAATGCAACTGGGAGGCAGCAGAGCAGGCTGGTGTTCATTGTCATCGAAAGGCAATGGAAAAGTCAGAACGGTTTTTAAATAGAGAAGGGACAGAAAGATGTTTTGGGGGGAGTTAAGATAGCACGGGTGGCAATAAAGGAGTACCCATTCATCCACAAGCTCACGGAAGGCCAGGGAGGACAAGGGACTTACCCAGAGACGGGATGAATGCCTGGGACGTCCAGACAGGAACCCAGGAGCTCTTCCCAGGCATGGCTCTGGTTGTGCCATTCATGGAAAAAGATTTCTTTGTTGACCTCTCCCCTCTACTAATCCTGGTGCCCAGGGCAAGCCTTTTTTTGTGTTGGTGAGTGGATGGGCAGATGGCTGAGTACACAGATGGCACAAGAGATCTAGGGGAGCCTGGCTGCCCTCATCTTGTGACCGTGGCCATGTCCACCCCACCCAGAGTAGGCAAGGAGAAATGCCGGCCCGTGCTGGCTGGAGGCGGGGCTGGCCCCGCGGGCACGCCCCTTCAGCACTCCTTCCTGACCGAAGTGACCGACGTCTATGAGATGGAGGGGGGCCTGCTGAACCTGCTCAATGACTTCCACTCGGGCCGGCTGCAGGCCTTCGGTGAGTCCCTGGGGCTGGGCTGAGACGGTCTTGGCGGGGTTGTGGCTGGGGCCAGGGTCCCCGGCTCGCTCCCGGGGCTCAGACAGAGGCTGTCCAGGGAAGGAGTGCTCCTTCGAGCAGCTGGAACACGTTCGGGAGATGCAGGAGAAGCTGGCCCGGCTGCACTTCAGCCTGGATGTGTGTGGGGAGGAGGACGAGGACGAGGAGGAAGAGGACGGGGTCACGGACGGGCTGCCTGAGGAACAGAAGAAGACGATGGCGGACCGCAACCTGGACCAGCTGCTGAGCAACGTGGGTCCCGGCCCGGGGTCTTGGGGCCCCTAGGGCTGGGGGAGGTCCACGCTCCAAGGCCATGGCTGCTCCCTGGGTGAAAGGCGGGGTATGTGGGTCCCTCCCCCTCCACCAGAAGAGGCTCCCAGGGCTCCGGGGGTTTGGCTGGTGCCCCTCGTGACCACCTTTTCTCTCTACTGACAGCTGGAAGATCTTAGTAATTCCATGTATCCTTTCCAAGGGCCCTGACTGCTGAGGGTCTCCTCGAGGGAGGGGTCAGTTACGTCCTCCCCACCACCCTCCAGGACTCAGTCCTCCCGGGTCAGAGGAGTCTAGGAAGAGTTTCCCAAACACCAGGAAAAAGGCCGTTGTAGAGGGCAGGCAGCAGCTACCCCTCAAAACCCAGGGGAGCGCCTTAGCTGACAGCGACCCACGGCAGGACTGGACTGCTGTCTCTCCAGCACAAAACACTCAAGTCTGCAGACTACACCATGTCCCCGGGGCGCGGTCTGGCTCCGCGGACCCGCACGATGTGGATGACCTAGCGAGAAGGCAGGCGGGAGTCTCTGATCTCAGACCATAGTGGGCCCCGGAGACCCTCGTCCCTGCCCCTTTGCACAGCTAACCCGGGGCAGGATGGGAGGAAGTCTGGGCTCCGAAGCGTGGCAATCCTTGACTGGCACAGACAGAAGCTGCACCTGGCCGAGAACGCCGAGCCCGAGGAGCAGGCGGCTGCGTAGGCGTCGGACCCGGGCCCAGACTGCTCCTCTCGTTCCCTTGAAACTGTGACTTTTTACGGGCTTGGGCTCAGGAGGGTATTCCGTGGCCCCCCAGGTGCTATGAGGGAGGGGGGCACTGGATGGAATAAAACCAGAAAGCAAGCAAGCAAGCGGCTCCGTGTCCTCCCTCCCCTCCTTGCGCCCTTCCTCCGCCAGAGAGGAGACACCCCTGCACAGGGGTCTTCTGGGAGATGCCGGGAAGCCTCCCGCGCCTCTGGGAGTGGGAGAGGAGCCGCAGCATCTCACCAGACCCGGTCAACGATTGCCGTGGAGACGGGGGCGCGGCCCTGCGCCTGCGCCTGCGCCTGAGCGGCGCCGACTAATGACGTAGGCGTAGGCGCGCCGCGGGCTGGCTAGGCCGTTGGAGTCCTGATGGAGCGGGAACTGTTGCTTCGGAAGGTGACAGTGTTACAGGTGCGGGTCGGGCGGGGTTGCACCTGGGTTCCGCGGCTGGGAGCTTCCAACGAGCTAAGGCAACCTCGTGCCCGCAAGCCAAGGTCTGGAGGCGCTGGCCCGGCCGCGACCTCGCTGCAGAACGCTGCGGGCCACAGGCTTCCCTCCGTCCTCTCCGCGGCTCGCAGCGCACGCTCGGCCCGGAGCAGGCGAACAGTGGGAGGGCTTTAACACGGAGAGGAGGGTCCGATCTCGCCTCCTCCCCTGACCCCCCGAGCCCCAGCGCACACCGCTACGTGCCCCCGCACCTTGCGTGTCCCGGGGCTGCTCCCCGAGGGGATCCCCCGAGATCCCTTCCCGCACAGGGATAAGGGGATCCCTTCCACTCGTTCCCCACACCAGGCCTGCGTCCGGGGCTTCCTGGTCCGACGCCAGTTCCAGAGGCTGCGAGCTGAGTATGAGGCGATTGTAGGAGAGATCGAGGGCGACCTGGGTGTGCTTCAGTGGACTGAAGGCTGGATTCCCAGGCCCAGGTTTCTCCCAGAGGTACGACTGACTCCTCCTGCTGACATTGGCCACAGCCTCACCTCCTCACACCCCAGTCCCCACTCCTCACCAGCTTGTTTGCTAGGTCATGGCGCCCAGGAACATGAAACGTTAGCCCTGGGGCTCTCAAACCTCTCTGATTTCTCAGAAGGCGAAATCGTGTGGGACCAGGAAAGCAGGAGACAGGGTACCCAATGCAGAGCAGCAGCTGCCAAGCCACTCCCCTTGTGAAGAGCCTGAGAGACAGGCCCTCTGGGAGGAGCAGCCGGGAGAGAGCTCAGCAAACCCAGGACGTCTTCCCGGCCGAGATGACAGCCCCTGGCTTCAGGCTGAGCAGAGCAGGAAACCCAGGCAAAGGGAGACCAGAGCCACATCAAGTGTGGAGAACCCAGGTATCTCCCTGCCTGATCGAGGCAAGCCCCTGACCCTCGTGGGCCTGAGCCTCCCCACCTGCAGAGTGACAGGGGGGTGGTGGATAAGCTGCCTCCCTTCCCTTCTTCCCTCTGCCTTTGGGGAGCAGCACACGGGTGGTTAGCAGGGGGTGCCAGAGTCAGATTTCAGTTTTCCCCCAAGGCTTGCTGCCTCCATTCCCTCCTCCTCCACAGACGCCATGGGTCCCGGATTGCCCCAGGGTCTGTCAGAGCTCCAGTCCCACCGCAGCCACTTGGCCATGGAACTGCTGTGGATTCAACAAGCCATCAATAGCCGGAAGGAGGTAGGCGCTAACTGGAGCTCTTTCTGAACATAGGGCCGGAGTGGGAGGTCAGGAGAGACCTGCTTGGCCTGCATGATACAGTGCCTCTTCTCTCTTCCAACAGTACTTACTACTCAAACAAACACTGAGCTCTCCAGAAGCAGGCCAGACCAGAGACAAGCCCAGGATGTGCTCAGATCCCGGGGGCCAGGCCTGTGGGTGGGTCTGGTCAGAACCAAGTCCATCACTAGAGGACCAGTGCTACCGAGACAGGACCACCACAGAGCTAACCCACACAGATGACTCCTGCCCAGGGGGCAGGCCTCAATGCCACACATCCCCAGAACGTCTGGCTGCTACAGAGAGAAAGTTCCCTGGGGCTGAGAGCAGAGGACCACGTTACAGGAGTGCTGGCCCACAGCCGCCTATGCCGCCAGCCAGCCAGGCTAGTGGGCCCAGGCTTACCAAAGGGCCAGACCGTGGAGAACAGGCACTTGAAGGGACCTGCCTGCAGCAGGTGCAACTCCTGGAGGACCAGACTCCTGGAGACCTCAAACCTAGAGGTCACTGTCCCAGGAAGGCCAGGACACAGCTGCCTGTACTCTGTGAAGACCCCAGCATTGAAGACAAGTCCCCCAGGTGGCCCGACCACCAAGACTCTGGCAAACAGCGATGCCCCAAGGGGCGGGCCTCTGAGAGGATCATATCGTCTGGGATAGGACCATAGCAGGGCCAGAGCCTGGTGGCCCAGATCTCAGGAAGGTTAAACCAGCCCACAGCCAGACCCCGAGTGATAGACGGTCCAGGGATGGAACCTCCATTGAGCCTAATCACCATGGATGGAGAAACCAGAGGACTGGACCGTGGAGTTCAAGGCCACCTGAGAACCTTTCTTCTGCAGGGTCAAACGGTATAGGAGAGGACCCGTGGAGGAGCAGGCTATGGAAAACAGGACCTGCAGGTTAAACCTGGGGAGCCAGGGGAGGGCCGAGTCCCAGAGGAGGACGCTACGAGAGGTGCTGAGCAGGGCAGAGCTTCAGCCCACCTCCCTGGTGCCAGCTCTGCCTCCTGCCCTGTCCTTGGTCATTGCTGGCTGGTGGGGCCAAGAGAAGCTGGAGCAGGGAGCTGGCGGGAGTGAAGGGAGGAGACGGGCAAAGGACACGCTTTCTCCTCTGCCTGTGGCTCAATCCAGATTTCAGGACAAGGAGTCTTCTAGGGGAAGTGAAGTAGGAAACCTGATGGAGAATAAAGGCTTTTCTTGGATTCTCAGCCTGGCTGGTTTTCATTTTCTGCCTCTGGCCAGGACAGACTCTGGCCCTCCTATCCACTTCCTGTTGGCATGGCTTACTGTCCCTAGAGGCAGCTGGGAGCCATGACCCAGCAGCAGATCTAGCCTTCCTCCTTGCTGACAGCCCCCAAAGCCATCTCCCTCAGCTCCACGCTTGGGCTACAGAGCGGCTCAGGTGCTGGAGACCCCTGGAACACGGATTTCAGTGTGGTCTCCCTCCCTCTCCCACCAGGCCCCAGGCCGTTCCTTCCTGCTCTCGTGAGGCCCCCTCGAGGGCAGACTGGATAGGACCTTAATGAGGCTCTCCCTGCCTTACTGGCTGACAGGACAGGGTTCCACCTACCACTGGCACTGTTCCCAGCCCTGCCTTGGTTGCCTGGCAACAGCTCCGCGTCTCTGGCACACTACGGCATACTATGGCGAGTGGCGGCCTAGCAGCCAAGAGGGTAGTGGTGTATCGGAATGGGGACCCCTTCTCCCCAGGCCATCAGCTGGTGGTAGCCCCTCGCCGCTTCCCCACCATGGAGGCCTTCCTCTGTGAGGTGACCTCAGTTGTGCAGGCACCGCGGGCTGTGCGTACCCTCTACACGCCTTGTCACGGCCACCCTGTCACCAACCTGGCAGAGCTGCAGAATGGAGGGCACTATGTGGCTGCTGGCTTCGAACGGTTCCGCAAGCTCCCGTGAGTGGGCTGGAGCTGGGCTGGGGGGGGAGGGAGGGGGCGGGGCGGCACTTGCTGTGTGTGCTGTGGGCACTTCTCACCTTCTCACCTCAGTGTAGCAGGGGTGGGGCCGGAATCATCTCCACTAGCCAGAAAGGCAATGGTTGAGCTGCAGGGTAAACTGATTTGTTTGGTGCGAAGGCTCACCCATCAGCCAGGACCAGCATGCGGAAGGAGCCCATGCTGCAGGTAGAACACCTTTCCCCAAACCTCCTCTTAACTGGATCCCTGGCAACCCCATCACCAAGCACTAAGTCCACCATGGCTTCCTCCCTGGTGTTCTCCCCGAATAGACTAGGGTCATCCCCCTTGGCAGGGTACTGCTGTCTTCCAAGGTGGGAGTCCGGAATTTGTCTCAGCTTGCAACTGCTGAGATCTGGCTCCCAAGGCCTACCACTCCTGGCTCCGGGTTGGGACTGCTGTATTCTAACATAAGGCAGGGGTGGGAACGAGGCAAATTTAGACTGGGTTTTATCACTTCCCCTGTGACCTCAGGCAGGTGGCTTCACTTCTTGGTGTCTCATCCAACGTGGAGATGAACCCACCTACCTCATGAATGAGAAAGTACCTGATAGAGTAACTGACGCTCGGGTGCTCTGACTCCATAGTTCTCTCTCAGCCTATAAGTGTGGTTTCTATTGGAGACTCCAGCCTGGGTTTCCAGCCTGATCCAGCAAGGGAGCCTGAAGCAGGGTCAAGAGCCCACATCTGCTGCAGTAGATGAGTGAGGGTATTCCAGCCAGCCTGGATGCCTACGGAGCTGGGCCCCAGCCCCAAATCCTGGCAGTCCCTGGGCTTCTGAAGATGACCTGTGATCTACCTGTCTTTTCAGCTACTTAGCCCCTGCAGGGAAGGACCCAGGGGGGAAGAGCCACAGCCTACAAGTGAGTCTGGGGGAGGCAGTCCCTGGGCCCTCTTCCCACCCCCTCCCTGGGACTGCCCCAGCTAGGTCTGGGAAGCCAGGGGCCCGGAAGCAGCAGAAGCTGCCAGTTGCACAGCCACAGCTGCTGTCCTTGTGGGGCAGGATTCCAAGACACCCCTTGTTCCTGTCCCAGCCTTCCATTGCATGTCCAGGCTGTGGTCCTGTGAAACAGATGGAGCTGAGCAGAGGTTGGAGTGTGGCTTAGGGGACAAAGAGGCACCCTTTTGTGAAAGCTGTGACCGGTCTCACCCCCTCCATGCTCTCTCTTCTGCCCCGGAACCTGGTTCCTGCCTCACCCCTAACCGATGGCCTCAATTCTCCCCTGATGTGGGGGCCTGACTTGGGTTTCAGGGTCCTCCTGTGATTCGCCAGCCATGTGGTGGGGCCCTTGGACGGTGGCTGCCGGCAGGCACCCCCTGCTATATCCAGTGAGTGTCGGTGGCAGAGAGCAGGGGTCTGGATTTCTGTTTCATCGAGACTGAGAAAATGGGGGTGGGTTTGTCCCAAGAGCTGGTTACTGATGGAAACATTTGAGGTCCAGCAGGGGTTCTCAGCCCATCTTCCAGTCCCCCTGCCACCCTCCTTCCTCCCACATATAGCAAGTCCTGGAGCCCCTCCCCCTTACCAATCTGTCCTGTCTCAGCGTGTTCAGGAATGGGGACCTGTTAAGTCCCCCCTTTAGTCTGAAGCTGTCCCAGGCTGCCAGCCAGGACTGGGACACGGTGTTGGAACTCCTGACTGAGAAGGCCAAGCTGCAGAGTGGAGCTGTATGCAAGTGAGTATGAGGGCGGGGGAGGCCTGAGGGTCCCAAGGCCTCCCTCCTGATGTGGCCAGGCAAAGAACAGCATATCCCCACAGTGGCCTCCTCCTGTACCACAGGGAGAGGCCCCGGCCAGCCCTCAGAGGACTGAGGGTTCCTCGGAATCGCTGCGCCCATCCCTCACACTGTGCCCCGTGTCCTCTCCCCCTGTCTGGCTCGCTCCCAGACTCTGCACCCCACAAGGGTACCCGCTGGCAGCAGGGGAGACTCTGGTGAGCGGCCGATACTACGTTGCTGTCGGAGAAGAAGAATTCAAGGCCCTTCCCTATGTGGAGCTGCTGGTGCCCAGCCCCTCCCAGCGTGGAGGCTGCTGGTATAGCCTCAGAGGCGGAGGGCGATGGTGGGGGGCACGGGTGGCCCCCTCAATCTGGGTGCTTTGACTCCATGTCCCCCACTGCCTCGCACTCTTTCCTTTCTTCATTGTAGGCACCCGCCAGGCCCAAAGTGCAGGCCCCACAGGCAGGGGGTAGGTGATGCAGGGCAGCCTGGGGGTGGGGGGAGGGTGATGGTGACAGCTGTTGTGGTCCAGGCTCTGACCTTCTCTCTTGGCATCCTCTCAGTGCCTGTGACACAGAGATTATTCCGCAGGGAGCCAGAAGTGGCACAGCACTGTGGGACTGTAGGGCCTAGGGGAGCTTTTCAGCTCCCCATTTATCCCAGGCCTGGGCCCTCCCCAGAGAGGAGCCAGCAGGCACAGGGTGTGAGGTGGAGGACAGAGTGTAGTTTCACCGAGCGTCTTCAAAGCAGCTCCTCTGCCCCGATGGGAAGAGGTGGCGGGGAGGGAGGATGCACGCCATGCGGATGGATGAAATCACCTCTCCCAAGTTCCCACAGGCAGGTGCACTGACACCTGGTCTCAGGGTAAGGAAGGGGAGAACGGCCAGCAATCAGGGCCCAAGCCCAGTGTCCTTTCTCTAGGCCCATGGTCACCGGGCACAGCCTACCCCGCCCTCTCCAAAGGAACCAAGCCGAATGGAGCCATCTGCTTTCTATGCCAGATCCCGGCCGGCCATTCAGCCAAGCAAGCTCTGCACGCTCTCATTTCCACCAGGTGCTGGGCCCCGGTGCCCCTGGACAGTGACAGGACGGTCGCTACTGTTGTTGGGAATGCCGGTGGGGGCTGCCATGACCTAGTGCCCCACCTGGGTCCCTTGCTTCTTCACAGGGACTTGTCACAAAACAGGGAGCACACGGAAAGGGATTCCCTGCTTACCACAAAGCAGTGGAGACTTCAGGGGCGGGATTTATAAGGGGTGGCTGTGGGGGCTTTCACCTTGGACTTTCCTACTCTCCTCTGGGGTAGTGGGGCATGTGCACAAGCCCCAGGGGAAGGGACAGGGCTGGTGCGGAAAGTCCAGGGCAAGAATGCCAAGGGCCCCTCAGCCTGGACATCGGCCCGTGTTGCTCCCTTATTAGGAGTTAAGGGAGTGTATGGGGCTCCCCATCCAAGGCGGGAGACGGCAGAGGCCCAGGAAGTGGCGGAGGATGACAACACGCAGACAGAGGAGCCCCTGGATCAGGTGAGCTGTGGGGTCAGGAAGCAGTGTGCTGGCAGGGCAGTTCTGAGCTGGAAACCAGCAGCCTGGGCCCTGGGCACAGTTCTCGCCTTGTGACAGATGTAAACAGATCTGACATGCCAGAGTCCAGCTCCTGGCTTAGTGGATGTGAAAGCAGTTCCTAATTTCTTGTCTTTTCTTTCTCTGGGGGCTGGGGGACTGCGGGCTGAGGCTGGACAGATCATAGCTCCATTCTGCATGGCTCTCCACCCCCTGCAGCAGGCAGCAGAGGTGGTGGAAGAGGACCTGTCCCTGGCCGGCCAGCCTGGGGTTGGGGCTGGAGAGGCTCTCAGCCTCAGCCCCTGCTCTGCCATGACAGCCAGTGGCTACAGAACTGGGGACCACCACCTTTCATCCTCCGCCTCCCACAGCCTGCTCCTGGGGCCGAGGCCTGTCCGCCCGCCCTCCCCGCCCAGGCCCACAGCCCAGTCCCCTTCCTGAGCAGAGCAGCCCTGTCCTTACACGATTCTCTGACCAGAGAGAGGAGCAGCAAACAGCTTGGGAGGCAGACCCCAGACGTGGGAGAGCGTCTGCCACAATAAAAGAAGACGTAAATAGTCCCTGCTGACTGCAGATTTATTGGAGGCTGTTGCTACCGGGTGTTGTGCTGGGTGCTGGCTGGGCAGGCCGGGCTCACACTGACTCCGGCGGGAGAGGGGCTAACAGTGGTGGATTCCTGGCCACCACCTGGTGGGATGGGAGGGGCTGGCAGACAGCTCATCTCTGCTGCCATCCTGATGTGTGGGGACTCTGACCCCTGGGGGCCTCCTGTCTGCACTTCCGGCTCAGAGACTGCAGCGGGGGTGCTGCCGTCCTTGGCTTCTGCCCCGTGACAGTTCACAGAAGGCCCTGGCACTGACGGCAGGAAGACAGCTGCTCGGGCCGAGAGGATGCTGAGGGTGTGTGAGTCTCCCGTGTGCTCGTGGTCCTTAACATGATCATGAGGTAGCTGTTCTCCACATGAGATGGGAGGACGCGCCAGCTCTCCCTGCTCAGGGCCTGCGCCTTGTGACCCGGGCCTCCCTGGAGACAGCAGGGCTGCTGGGGGTCAAAGAGCAGATGGCTGCCTGTGGGTCCTGGTCACTGAGCTTGTGATGCACAGTGTAATTCCCGTCACGGTGAGCACCATGCCGGCGATGGCTCCTGGGATAACAGGCGGAAATCAGGGACTCGGCTCAGCCATGCCAGTGGGAGCTGATACTGGGCTGGCGGGAGAGCTCACATGAGGGCTTGTCCCAATTTCCACCCCAGCATCTGTCCCCAGACTGCCCAGGGGAAGGAAAGTGATGACCACCAGGAAGCAGGACAGGTGCAGAGGAAAGGGGCAGGATGGCGGAAGGCCCTCTCCTCACCAGCCCCTGGGAGATGGGCGTGGGACAGAACCACCCAGGGTTGTCACGGCCGGGCAGCAGCCTGACTTACGTTTGCCACCAATTTCTTCTCCAAGGATCTTCCCGACGATCATTGTGAAGACGATGGCCAGGGAGTTACAGATGGGCACGGCGAGAGTCAGGTCTGGGTGGTCAAGGTGAGGAGAGCCCCTGAGGTGCAGGAAATGCCTTTCCCGTCACAAACACGTTCATCTCACCCTCGTGGCCACTGCACACCTTTCAGAAAGGCGTCCTGACCCCAGCGCCAGAGGAAGTCACAGCAGAGCTCAGGACTCTAACCCAGGCCTCCTGACTCCCAGTTCATGCATTCTCGGGATTCCAGCGTAGCCCTGAGCTCGGGTGTGAGACCAGCCTGGCTTGACAGTGAGAATGAGGTCTCTGCATTCAGAGAGAACTGAGATCTTCTAGACAGACAGACAGACAGACAGGCACACAGACACAAAGGCACCTACAGCCCAAAGGACACGGTGGAACCTGTGTAACAGCGCCAAGCATGGCTACTGTCGATAAAGCACAGGCTACGCACAGTGCTCTGTGTACGTCTCATGTCATTTTCACATGTGACCTTGCTCACAACACCACAAGGAGAGAACTGTCACCAAAGGGAAGAAAGGCTCAAAGAAGTCGCACAAATATAGACAAATTGAGGGTTTAAATGTATTTATTTGGAAAGCAGAGATAGAGTTTTTTCCATCTGCTGGTTTACTCCCCAAGTACTTGCAACAACCAGGGGTAGGCCAGGCAGAAGTCCAGAGCCTTGAACCCAATCTGGGTCCCCAACATGGGTGGCAGCGACCCAAGCACTTAAGCCATCATCTGCCTCCCAGGCAGGAAGCTGGAATTGGAAGTGGAGGTGGGACTTAAATTCAGGCATTCTGACATGGGATGCAGATGTCCTAAGTGGTGTCTTTTTTCTTTTTAATTAATTTATTTGAAAGGCAGAAATACAGAGAGAGATCTTCGATCCACTGGTTCACTCCCCACATGGCCCCCACGGCCAGGGATGGGCCAGGCCAAAGCCAGGAGCCAGGAGCATCTTCCAGGACTCCCACCTGGGCACAGTGGCCCAGGGACTTGGGCCATCTTCCACTGCTTTCCCAGATGCATTAACAGGGAGCTGGATCAGAACTGGAACAGGCTGGTGCCGCGGCTCACTAGGCTAATCCTCCGCCTGAGGCGCCAGCACTCTGGGTTCTAGTCCCGGTCGGGGCACCGGATTCTGTCCCGGTTGCTCCTCTTCTAGTCCAGCTCTCTGCTGTGGCTTGGGAAGGCAGTGGAGGATGGCCCAAGCGCTTGGGTCCTGCACCCGCATGGTGCAGACAATGTTTGGGGGACAGTGCTGTGACATATAAGGTTAAGCCTCTGCCTGCAGTGCTGGCATCCATATGGGCGCCAGTTCAAGTCTGGGCTGTTCCAGTTCTTTTTTATTTATTTACTTATTTTTTTTTCTTTGACAGGCAGAGTTAGACAGTGAGAGAGAGAGAGACAGAGAGAAAGGTTTTCCTTCTGTTGGTTCACCTCCCAAATGGCTGCTACGGCTAGCGCGCTGCGCTGATCCGAAGCCAGGAGCCAGGTGCTCCCTCCTAGTCTCCCATGCGTACAGGGGCCCAAGTACTGGGGCCATTCTCCACTGCCTTCCCGGGCCACAGCAAAGAGCTGGACTGGAAGAGGAGCAACCGAGACTAGAACCTGGCACCCATATGGGATGCCACAGGTGGAAGATTAACCAAATGAGCCACGGCGCCGGCCCCCAAACATTGTCTTAACCACTGTGCCAAACTGAGGGTTTAAACCAAGGTCTGCCTGACTCGAAAGCCTGTGCCCTTACTAAATTAGATGGATATTGGTGGGGTCGGTGCAGTGGCACAGAGGGTTAAAGCCCCAGCCTACAGAACCAGCATCCCATATGGGCACTGGTTTGAGTCTTGGCTGCTCCACTTCTGATCCAGCTCCCTGCTAATGCACCTGGGAAAGCAGTAGAGGATGGCCCAAGTCCTTGGGCTCCTGCACCTACGTGGGAGACCTGGAAAAAGCTCCTGGCTCCTGGCTTCGGATAGGCTCAAGTTCCAGCCATTCTGGCCATTTGGAGAGTAAATCAGCGGATGGAAGACCTTTCTCTCTCTCTCTGTTGCTACCTCTCTCTTTCAAATAAATAAATCTTTTTTAAAAAAATGGATATTGGCAAAGCAAAACACAAGGTAATGGAGCCAGCGCTACGGTGTAGTGGGCTAAGCCTCTGCCCGTGGCACAGGCATCCCATGTGGGCACTGGTTCGTGTCCTGGCTGTGCCTCTTCCAATCCAGCTCTCTGCTTATGGCCTGGGAAAGCAGTAGAAGATGGCCCAAGTCCTTGGGCCCCTGAACTCACGTGGGAGACCCGGAAGAGACTCCTGGCTCCTGGCTTCAGATTGGCCCAGCTCCAGCCGTTGCGTCCATTTGGGGCGTGAACAAGCAGATGAAAGACCTTTCTCTTTGTCTCTCCCTCTTTCTGTCTGTAACTCTGCCTCTCAAATAAATAAATCTTTCTTTAAACAAAATGAGGTATGCATGTTGTGTTTCTGTTTCAGCTCAGGCTTGAGTCTTATGGCGTTAAAGAGAAAAATAAACCTCGGCAGCAGGAGGCCAAGTCCCGGTTTAGGACGTAGGGCTGGGCCGGGGGGAGGCACTGGAGCCCAGGATCTGTTCCTGGGTTGTAAAGCTCTATGGGGCTGACTTCAGTAAGAAAACGCGTTCAGGATCAGTGAATCAACACCACTGCACCGCACACTTCAAACTGCTAAGTGGGTAGCTCTCACGCTAAGTGTTTTTATCAACATTTATTAAAAAGTCTCAAAATACGGGGCCGGCGCTGTGGCGCAGTGGGTTGACGCCCCGGTCTGAAGCGCCAGCATCCCATATGGGCGCTGGTTCTAGTCCTGGCTGCTCCTCTTCCCATCCAGCTCTCTGCTATGTCCTGGGAAAACAGTGGAGGATGGCCCAGGTCCTTGGGTCCCTGCACCTGCGTGGGAGACCTGGAAGAAGCTCCTGGCTTCAGATTGGTGGCACAGCTCCAGCCATTGCTGCCAATTGGGGAGTGGACCATCAGATGGAAGACCTCTCTCTCTCCCTCTCCCTCTCCTCTCTCTGTGTAACTCTGACTTTCAAATAAATAAATAAATAAATCTTAAAAAAAAAAAAGTCACAAAATACAGATGATATGGATGGGACAGACATTGACCCTTGCAGTCAGACCCCCCACATCTCACACTGGAGTGTCTGAGTTTGATTCCCTGTTCCAGCTCCTGACTCCAGCATCCTGCTGAGGCAGACACTGGGAAGCAGCAGTTGGAGGCTTAAGTACTGGGGTCCCTGCCACCCATATGGGAGGCCCAGATTGAGTTCCTGGCCCCCACCTTCAGCCTCTTCCACTCCCTGGCTGTGGCAGGCTGGGAAGTGAACCAGCAGGTGGGAGCTTTGTCTGCCTTCCTGTCCCAGCCTGTCAAATAAGGGAATAAATACTAAGGGACCAATCAGAAGCTGAGTTACCTGCCTGCCAGGCTGACTGCTGGCTCCTCAACAGGTGCTTTCCCGGTAGTCCCTGGCCTCCCTGCTTGAGGTGAAGGAGGGAGCTCTCCTGCTCCCCACCCCCTGGGAGGCCCCAGCAAGGCCAGCATTATCCATCCAAGAAACTGACATGGCACCCCCAGCCACTCACAGCTGCTTGGGCCTACATCCCCTCTGTGAAACGAATGGCTGTGAAAGACACATTTGCAAGAGTAGACGGGGCTGGCGCTGTGGCGTAGTAGGTAAAACCGCTGCCTGCAGTGCCGGCATCCCGTTTGGGCACTGGTTTGAGTTCTGGCTGCTCCACTCCCAGTCCAGCTCTCTGCTGTGGCCTGGGAAAGCAGTAGAGGATGGCCCAGGTGCTTGGGCCCCTGCACCCGCGTGGGAGATGCAGAAGCTCTTGGCTCCTGGCTTTAGATAGGCCCAGCTCCAGCTGTTGTGGCCATTTGGGGAGTGAACCAGTAGAAGGAAGACCTTTCTCTCTCTCTCTGCCTCTGCGTCTCCGTAATTCTGCCTTTCAAATAAATAAATACATCTTACAAAAAAAAAAAAAAAGTGGGAGAGCAGGGGCACAGGAGAGAGGCAGAGCGGGTTTCCCTGTGCCGTCTCCAACAGATCATTCCAACACTCAGCCTGTTCCCCCACTAGCAAAACACTGACAGCGAGCTGCCCTCTCCCCAGCAGGGCCATCGTGAGGTGAGCTGTGATACTGCACAGACCGTCTCTGGCTGAAGTAGATGCTTAACAAGTAGAGACTACCGTTCTGATTATTAAAAAGGATGGACCCTGAAAAACGGAGAGCGGCTGACGAGACAGCAGGACCCTAGGATGGCATCTGCTGCGTCATTCGCCCACGGTGAAGGCCAGACTTTCAAGTTCTCTCAATGAGGTCTTTTGGGAAGCGCAAACTGCAAGTTAGCGGAAGAGCAGTGACTCTAGGTGGAGCCAAGGTGGCAGATCTGGGGCTGTCCCGTCTCCTCACCCTCCCCTGGCCTCTGTGAGTGCAGTGGTTGGGTGAGACTCCAGGCAGCAACACAGCAGTAGGGGACTCCTCACAGCAGGGCTCGGGAGCGTAAGCTTCACTACACGGCTTTAAGTCCTCTGCACTGAAATGCTAGGGGACTTCAGGCAGGGGAAATAAGTTATCAAAGTGCTATAACTCTCCTCGCTAAATGACGATAATCAGGTCTGCTTGACAAGGTCACCATGGGAATTAAATAGAATGTGTAAGACCAGAGGCCAGCATGGTGGTGCAGCAGGTTAGCTGTTGTGGCCATCTGGAGAGTGAACCAGCAAATGCAAGATCCACACTCCCTCACCCCATGCCCGTCTCTCCCTCTCTCTGTTGCTCTGTGTTTGAAATGAATAAATATATCTTTATGAAAATTTTAGGGGCCGGCAATGTGGCATAATGGGTAAAGCTGCCGCCTGCAGTACAAGCATCCCATATGGGCGCCGGCTCACCCCCCAGTTCACATCCTGGCTGCTCCACTTTCGATCCAGCTCCCACTAATGTGCCTAGGAAAGCAGCGGAAGATGGCCCCAGTCCTCGGGCCCTTGCACCCACATGGGAAGACCTGGAAAAAGCTCCTGGCTTTGGGTCAGCTCAGCTCTGGCCGTTGCAGTCATTTAGGGAGTGAACCAGAGGATGGAAGACCTCTTTCTCTCTCTGTCTCTGTAACTCTTTCAAAATAAATAAATATTTAAAAAAAAATTGAAATCCATGCATATGGGGCCAGCACTGTGGCTTACACTAAATCTCCACCTGCAGCACTGGCATCCCATATGGACACCAGTTCCACCAGTCCCAGCTGCTCCTCTTCCGATCCAGCTCTCTGCTATGGCCTGAGAAAGCAGTGGAAGATGGCCCAAGTCCTTGGGCCCCTGCACCTGTGTGGGAGAACCGGAAGAAGCTCCTGGCTTCACTGGCCATTTGAGGAGTGAATCAGCAGATGGAAGACCTTTCTCTCTGTCCCTCTCTCCATCTGTAACTCTCCCTCTCAAATAAATAAATCTTTAAAAAAAAAGAAATCCATGCATAGTTTTTTTTCCCATAAACTTGCTGAAGTACCTCACTGTGGCAGCCAGAGTGTTGAAGCCAGCACTTGGTACAGCAAAATAAAATTTCCTTTTTTTCCTCTGATGCTGCTCAAGACCGCCAGGCTTCAACCCAACCCAAGCGCCTGGCAACACACTCGGAACCAGCCCACTGCACTCTCCTCCTCGGAGAAGCAGGCACGCTGGGGGAACAGGCAGGAGCAAGGTGCATGGCCTCCTCCGGGAATCTTCCAGGCGGCCTGTACCACTAAGCAGCCGAGCCGGGACCTACCTGTTGATGCCAAGGTGAGGTAGTAGAGAAGGGAGCCACACTGGTTGAGGAGAAAGGGCATCAGGTACTGGAGACAGGAGAAACGTGCAGTCAGGGTGGTGGCTTGCCTGCGCAGCGCTGTCTCCCCTGGCCTTTCCGCGGAGGGAGGGATGGGTACACAGCCCAGCGAGCACGAGGCCCTGTCAGAGGGACCCGTCCAGGGCTGACCTCCAGCCTTTGCCCGAAATGCCTTCTCCCTCAGCTCTGCTGGGGCCCATCGTCTCCATCCTGCAGAGCCTTGAGTGCCAGTGTCACCTCTTCCAGGAAGCCTTCCCCAAGTCCCCCGCTCAGCCTCCCTCCTCTGAATTCACACAGCCCTCAGCCCCGGGAAGGAGTGCTGCCCATGCCCGGCTTTCCCACCAGCCTGGACGGGCACCCCTGAGGTCAGAGCCAGTTCTCCATAAGCCCCCCGCCTCCCTCCCCCAGGGCCACCTGGAGCCTTGGGAAGGTCACCTCGCCACAGCTGCCTTGTATTCGCGTAATTGGAGGGATGGCATTGATACTAACAATAGCGGCCACACACGGAGCACCTGGCCCACTGCGAGGCGCTTTCTGCGCCCACCTCACCTGATTCTCACAGCTGCCCTCCCAAACGGTTCTAATTCCCACCCTACAGAGGAGGACACTGAGGTTGAAGAAGCGGTGGGGCCGGGATTCTGACCCAGACCCGTTGGATTCCAGAGACCAAATTCTTAGCAGCTACTAGGGCGAGAGAGAAGCCTTTCCGGACGCACCTCGGTATTCAGGAAGAGCGTCTTCATCTCCTGCAGCAGCTGCCGGGCCCAGGTCCGCTCGTGAACCCGCCGCAGCCCGCCGGACGCCCGCTTCAGCAGCGGCTGCGTGCCGCCCCACAGAGCGGCCACCAGCACCAGAGCCAGCACCTGTCCTGAATGCGGACGCATGCAGATGCGAGTCACCCCGACCCCGGCCCGACCCTAGCCTGCCTCTGCCTCCATCTCCCTTCCCTCTCCCGCACCCCGGCTGAGGCTGGCGCCCAGGGACAGGTCCCGGGGGGCTGGGACCCGGGGTGGGTGTGGAGTAGGAAAGAACTCTGGGTGGCGGGGTCGGGAACTCCAGGAAGGGCGGGGCCGACTACCCACCCAGAGTCGCCGCCATGGCAACGCCGCGCGATTTCTACTTCCGGGTGAGAGGGGGCGGAGACCCATACCCCGGAAGTGACTCCAGAGCCTCTTCCGGCCCTACTCACACTGCCGCGTTCCTGTCGCCGCCGCCGGCATGGTGAGTCCCATCGAGTGAGGGTCGTTGCGGTGGGGGTCCCGGGGTGGGACAGGGGCTCAGTTCCTGGCACTGACACTCCCGTGCTGTCCCCCACAGAAGCCGATCCTACTGCAGGGCCATGAGCGGTCCATTACGCAGATCAAGTATAACCGCGAGGGCGACCTCCTCTTCACCGTGGCCAAGGATCCTGTGAGCGTCGGCGGGAGGGCGGGCGGGACCACGCGGAGGGGCCCGAGAAGTAGGGAGAGACCATCCCTGGGGTCGCTGCACGAGAGCTTTCTACCGGGAAAGATGGGCATGTCTTAGTTGTTGATGGAGGGAGGCACCGGCGAGAAGAAAGACCGTCTGGAAAGGGACGGGGTGGTGGGTGAGGTCGTTCAGGTACCCGGACGACACTGTTCCGGGGAAGAACGAAAGCATTCTATCAGGATAGGAGGCAGACCGCCGCTGGTAGGGATAGATGATTCTCGGGCAGCAAGCTGTCTGCAGGGCCCGGGAGAAGTCCGTAGTGCATTTAAAGAAAAGGGGTGCCCTAGCCTCATCCTTAGCTTAGCGCTGACAGCCCCCCTTTTGAGGCATCTGCGTACAGAGTGAGTTAATTGATGATTAAAAGTGGGGGTTTGATGCTTGGAATCCTGACTTCTGTATCTGCCAGCAGCGTGACTGGTTTGTCTGTGTCACCGAATCTTTCCAAACGTCAGGTTTTCGTATTTATAAAATTGGGTGCTTAGGGTAAGGAGCTTGGCACAACACCTGGAGCATACGAGTGCCTAATTGATGTTCGTCACTGGTGTTTGAAGTTGCTTAGACAGCATTTCACAGGAGTCTCACCAACCCTTTGAAGAAGGCATTGCTGTCCTGATGTGTTGTTTTGTTTTTTCTGTTGAGTGACAGATCCCTTCTGCTAGTTCACTCCCCAAGTGCAAACAGTGGCCAGGCCAAAGCAGGGAGCCTGGAGCTCGGTCCGGGTCTCTTACGTGAGAACAGTAAGCCAAACTTCCACCCTGTCTTGACCATTTCAGAGTTGGGGAAACAAATTCCAAGGGGAGAGGCACTGTGCTTGAGATTGTATAGTGAGGGAGGAGCAGAGCAGGCACTGGCACCCTGACTTCCTCACTGCCATCTGCTCCCACTGGCACAGGACACCACCGCTGCTGGTTTTCTGGACCGCAGCGCAGCCTGACCTCCTTCTTCTTCTTCTTTTCTTTTTTTTTTTTTTGAGATTGTTTATTTGAGAGGCAGAGTTCAGAGAGAGAGAGGTCTTTCATCTGCTGATTCACTCCCCAGGTGGCCACAACGGGCCATAGCTGGGCCCATCTGGAGCCAGGAGCTTCTTCTGGGTCTCCCACGCGGGTGCAGGAGCCCAAGTGCTTGGGCCATCTTCCGCTGCGTCCCCAGGCCATTAGCAGGGAGCTGGATCAGAAGTGGAGCAGCCGAGACTCAAACCAGTGCATCTGGGGTGCCGACTCTGCAAGCAGAGGCTTCACAACTACTATGCCACAGCACCGCAGCGTTAGCCCTGATCTTTTGTTCTTCAAGATTCGGAGTCCAGAGGAAGGCTGGGACTGGCAAATTAGGACATGGACACCTTGGCCAGCCTCCTGATTCCCCAGCCAGTTACCTTCAGTAAAGGAAGAGAATCCAAGATTGCTTTTTGTCAACTTCCTGCTTTTTCTCAAGAGATTAGCCAGAGGGGGTGGACTTTTAGTGCAGCAGTTACGTTTCTGCTTGGGACACTTGTGTCAGGTATAGGAGTGCCTGGTTCAAGTCCCAGTTCCTGTGCTTCCATTCCAGCTGATGGGCACCCTGGGAGGCAGCGGATGGTGGCTCCAGTGCTTAGGGTCCCTGTCACCCACTCGGGAAACCTGGATAGAGTTCCAGGCTCTTGGCGTCTGCCTGGCCCAGCAATGGCTGTTAAAGGCATTTGGAAGATAAAGCAGCAGATGGAAGAGCCCTCTCTGTCTTGGAAATGTCATGAAAATTTATATTTGAAAAAGAGATGATGAGGAGAGGGCAGGCTCGGCCTGGCTAGAGGCTGCTGAGGGTTCCTGGAGCAAAATAGGAGGCGTTGCTCTTGTGGGATGTGTGCCATCTGTTGTTTGATTCCTCCAGATCGTCAATGTCTGGTACTCTGTGAACGGCGAGAGGCTGGGCACCTACATGGGCCATACGGGAGCTGTGTGGTGCGTGGACGCTGACTGTATCCTTGTCTGAGTCTGTGCTCACGGGGTCTGCTGGCAGTGGAGAGGCTGCCGAGTTGGAGGGCGGGAGTTCGAGATGTGATCGTGGGTCTAGGGGGGCATACCTGCTGTGTCATTCTACACCCCCCACCCCGTCCTCCTCGATGGGCGGGGAAACTTTCAGGATGGTTCCGCCTCAGGGGGGTGGGGGTGGGGGTGGTTAGAATGCTCTCAGCTAGGAGGGCCTTTGGGGGCTGAGGGCCGCACACAGAGGCCACCCAGTTGGCCTCTGACAAAGGACAGGGCCCAGGAGAACTCGGTCGTCTTCCTTAGCACCTCTTCAGGGGACACCAAACATGTCCTCACTGGCTCAGCTGACAACAGCTGTCGTCTCTGGGACTGTGAAACAGGTAAGCCTGAGCCCTTCACTTCAGCATGTACTGAGGGCCTGCGTGTGCCTGCCTAAGCAAGCGGGTCTGAGGACACAGACGTCCAGAGATGGCTCGCAGCCTACGGAATAAGAGACAGTGAGACAGGAAGGAAGGCGAGGAAAGTGTAATACTAAGGTATGATACGTATTAGAGGAGATAGAGTAGTGTGGAGGGCCAGAGGGAGGCAGCTGACTGGTGGGGGGTGGGGTGGGGGGAGAGGGAGCACAACCAGGAAGCTTTCCCAAGGTGAATCTTAGCTGTGGCTTAAAGGACAAAAAAGACGTCATCACGTTGGCACATGTGGGAATGAAACCATGGAGAGTGCTGCAGACAGGTTATCTGATCTGGTTGGATTCCTGCCTCCTGGTGGGTGAAGTAGTGGAGAAGATGAGGTTGGAGAACAAGCCTGCACTGCCAGACTTAGGAGCATGGGTTTGTCCTGAGGTGGCATGCCGTGGAGGTGCGAGCGGGGGGTGGGGGCAGCAAGGTCAGGGAGCAGTGAGACGCATCGAAAGCTTCGACTGAAGACAGCTGAGTGTGTGAAGGTGCCCCGGTTAGTAAATGTTTACTGGGCATCTAGTTCTGTGCAGTGCCCTGCTGGGCACTGGAGACATACGGAGAGAGCGCACCAGGTCCTTGCTGGGGAGGAGCGCAGTGTGATGGACACGAGTGTGCTGTGATCCACTGGGAGCAACGCCACAGTAGCAGGGTGCCCGAGGTGGGGAAGAACATGGAAGACTTGGGCCTAAGCATAGCAGTGAGGAAGGGCCAGGGGTTGGAGCCGCTGGAGCAGGAGACAGGAGGAGGAGTTGTGGGGGGTCCTCCCTGCCTTAGCCCAGACTCTGCCTCTCCCCAGGGAAGCAGCTGGCCCTACTCAAGACCAATTCAGCTGTCCGGACTTGTGGTTTTGACTTCGGAGGCAACATCATCATGTTCTCCACTGACAAGCAGATGGGTTACCAGTGCTTTGTGAGCTTCTTTGACCTGCGGGATCCAAGCCAGATCGGTGAGGGCTGGGGCTGGGGTCGAAGTGAAGGGCTCACTTCCAGGGTCCAAGGGCTGACCTCTTCTGTCCCAACCAGACAACAACGAGCCCTACATGAAGATCCCTTGCAACGACTCCAAGATCACCAGTGCCGTCTGGGGACCCCTGGGGGAGTGCATCATTGCAGGCCATGAAAGTGGAGAGCTCAACCAGTACAGTGCCAAGGTAAGGGCCAGGTGGCCCCAGCCCACCAGAAGGTTTCTCTGTGGAAGCAGGGTAGCACAGTGGTTAAGAGCAAGGGCTGGATGCAGATGCAGATCTCATCGTTTTCTAGCTGTGTGACCTTGAGCTAGTTACATAACTTCTCTGAGCCTGTTTATGTGTTTCAAGAGTCAGATGACATCAGGTATTTGAAAAACTTATGAAGTACTTAGGACATGTTAATAAAGATCTCAGATAAGGGGCGGGTATTGTGGAGCAGTGCGTTAAGCCACTGCCTAGGACGGTTGCACCCCATATCAGAGGACCAGTTTTGAGCCCAAGCTACTTTAATTTCAGTCCAGCTCCCTGCCAGTGTGCCTGATAAGCAGTGGATGAGCGCTCAAGTACTTGAGTTCCTATCCTCCCATGTGGGAGACTCAGATGGAGTTCCTGGCTCCTGGCTCCTGGCTTCAGCCTGGCCCAACCCCAGACTGTGAAGCCATTTGGGGAGTGAATGGAAGCTCTCTCTGTGTCACTGTACCTTTCAAATAAAATAAACCTTGGGGAGGGAGGGGAATCACAGACATGCATTTTCTTGCCACTACAGAGTACAAGGCCCTGTACTCAGATGAGAATGATTCAGACAGCCATGTGCCCAGGGCAGGCACAGACTTGGAAACACCTAGTACATGTATCAGTTGTGCGTTGTGCCACCTTAGGGGTATGCCATGTCACAGAGGAAGTGCATTAATGTCACAGAGGTGTGTCTATTAAGCTGTGAAGAATAAATGGCCCTTCTAGCAGGAAAGAAAAAGTATTCCACGGGCAAAGTAAGCAGCAAAACCAAAGGCCTCAAGTTAAAGAAGTCTAGGTGCCTCACAGATCACTGGACTGTGATGCTGGGAAGGTAGACATGTTACTGGGGTTGCCTAACGTGCTACACCACAACATTCCTAGCTGGGCTCTCCCTTTTTCAGGCCACAGTTGGGAAGATGAGCCTCAGCTAGCCAGTGTGCATGGGGATGTGGAGTGCTAGACCAGCAGGGATGAGATAATGGGCTGAGGGAAGGGCAAAGTCTGAATTGTCTCAGATTTCTGACACGGGTACCCAGTCTCTGGGGAGCTAGGAAATGGGCCCAGTCTGAGTCTATTTTTTTTTCCCCCAGTCTGGAGAGGTATTGGTAAACGTGAAGGAGCACTCCCGGCAAATCAATGACATCCAGTTATCCAGGGACATGACCATGTTTGTCACCGCATCCAAAGACAATACAGCCAAGGTCAGCCTGGGCAAGGGGCTGGCACTGAGTTTGCCTGACTTTCCCCAAGAGGGCTCTCTACAGATTTCTCCTCTGCCTTCTCTCTCCAGCTCTTTGACTCCACAACCCTTGAACATCAGAAGACTTTCAGAACAGAACGCCCCGTGAACTCAGCCGCCCTCTCCCCCAACTACGACCACGTAAGGGAACCCCATCTAGGCTTCCTAACAAGGCCCCAGCAAGCTTGCAGGGAAGAGGCGTTTGGCAGTTAGACTCTGACTGGTGGCTGAGCGGGAGGTGGCCGGACATGTCTCTTCCCCTGCTCTTGGTATCTCCCCACTGTGATGCAGGCGACATTGACAAATGGACTTGGCTGCCTTTGGAGCCATCTACCTTTCCTTTTCCTTTTAGGTGGTGCTGGGAGGCGGTCAGGAAGCCATGGATGTGACCACAACCTCCACCAGGATTGGCAAATTTGAGGCCAGGTGAGGGGGACAGGAGCTCTTCTGCAGTCTGAACCTTCCTGAGTGTGTCTTTTGTAATAAAGCAAGCAGTATTGGCCACTAGAAGTGTGGACCAGTGTGTTGCCCTCCTATGACAGGTGTGTAGTACAGCAGTTGGGATTATGAGCTCTCAGGGCCTAGATAAACCATGTGTTTCTCTGTGCTCAAGATTCTAAAACTAGGGGTGGGTGTTTGGCACAGCAGGTAAGTTGCCGTTTGTGATACCTGCATCCCATATCTGATGGCCTGGTCCATGTCCCACCTACTCTGCTTCCAATCCCTCTTCCTACTAATGTGCACCCTGGGAGGTAGCGGGTGATGTCTCAAGTGCTTGGGTCCCTGCCACCCCCATGGGAGCTCTGGATTGAGTTTCAGCCTTTTGGTTTCAGCTGGCCCAGCCCTGGGTGTTAGAGGCATTTGAAATATGAACCAGCAGATGTAAGATCTCTCTGCTCTGTTTTTCTTCTTTTCTAATAAAATGAAAATGAATAAATATTATTGTAAAATTCCACAGCAGAATAATGGGATGATAACACACTTACCTCATAAAGTTGTAGAGATTAAATTAATGCTTGTCAGGGCAGCCATTGTGGTGCAGTAGGTGAGCCTCTTGCCAGCATCCCACATTGGAGCGCAGCTTCAAGTCCTGCCTGCTCTACATCTGATCCAACTTCCTGCTGCTGCACCTGGGAAACCAGGGGATGAGGACCCAAGTGTATGGGCCTCTGCCACCCATGTAGGAGACCAGGATGGAGTTCCTGGCTCCTGGCTCAGGCCTAGCTATGGCAACCATTCGGGGAGTGAACCAGCAGATGGAAGAGCCCCTCCCCGACACTCTGCCTTTGAACGGATTGTTTTTAAGACAATTGTGAAAGCTCTGCAGTCAGGCAGACAGGCAGTCTTCCCCTGCAAGGCTTCACATGATCTCATTTGTATTCATTTCCGCTTTGTCCCAGTTTCCCTGCTTTATTTTTGTTGTATGGCTTCCTTTGGGGAAGTGCTACCTCTGATGTGTTTTGGAAGGAGATGAAGGGTAGATTAATGGTGTCCTTTCTCACCACCTGTCTCCGCCAGGTTCTTCCACTTAGCCTTTGAAGAAGAGTTTGGAAGAGTCAAGGGTCACTTTGGACCTATCAACAGTGTTGCCTTCCATCCCGACGGCAAAAGGTGAGGACTGTGCACCCCGCTCCCACGCCCCGCTGTGCAGAGCAGCACCTGACTGGTCCCTGCCTCTTTCTCCAGCTACAGCAGTGGCGGCGAGGATGGCTACGTCCGCATCCACTACTTTGACCCTCAGTACTTTGAATTTGAGTTTGAGGCGTGAGAAGCTGGATCTCCATCCGGATAAGAAAGCTGCTCACCAAATTCTGGACTCTGATAAATAAATTTGTTTGTTAATAAATGGTTTCTGGGCAGGTATTTTGTGGGGTCTGTTTTGTCATTTTCTTTTTTTCTTAAAGTTTGTTTATTTATTTGAAAGACAGAGATTTTTCTGTCCACTGATTCACGCCCCAGATGGCCACAACAGCCAGAGTTGGGCCACCCTGAAGCTAGGAGCCTGGAACTCTATCCAAGTCTCCCACACGGGTGCAGGGGTCCAAAGACTAGAGCCATCTCCTGCTGCTCTCCCAGGCGCGTTAGTGGTGCCAGCATTGCAGGTGATGGCTTGACCTGCACCACAGCACCACCCCATTTCATCCTTTCCTCCTCTGTCACCCCAGCAAGCTGATGCCGGTCATGGATATCTTTATTATTTAGACTTTGGACACTTCAGTCTTCAATATATGGGCTAGCCTGGGTCCAGGCACTTCATTTGAGGTCTGGAGGGGTCTGGAGGGATCTCAGGAAGGGCTCAGCACTGTCCCAGGAGCCAGCACTCGGAGTTGGGGCTCAGGCTGAACCTTCTGTCTTCTCACTGTCTGTCACTATTTGCCACACCTTCTCCCAGGCTGTCTCTGAGGGCTCGGGTGGGCGGGTCCAGCGCAGAAACAGGCCTGAGGAGGAGAAGACCGGTGAGGAAGCCGGGCAGTGGGGACAACTCCCCCAGGGGGAGAAGGTGGGATGGGAGGTGTCACCTTGCCACAACCGCAGGCTCTGGGGCTCCACGGAGGGCCAGATGGCCAAGGGATTGAGGGCATAGAGCGGGTTCCGGAGTTTCCGTTGCTCTTTCGGTTGGTTGAGCCCAGACCACAGCGAGTGGGTTCGAGTCCTCACTTCACACAGGCCCCTGTGGAGACAGGCAGTGAGTCTTTGGCACCAGCTGTGCCCTCCAGTGTTCTGGGTGGGGGTGGCCCTGGTTAGTGGGGTGACAGCCACTTGGCACGTGACCTCTCCTTCCGGTCAGCTCTTGTACCAGGCACTAGAGTAAAGCAGGAAGAAAACACAGCGCTGCTTCCCGAGTTCTGGTGAGGGGAAAAGCCAAGTAGCCTAGAGGGGGCTCTAGGAGGGCCTCTGCCAGGGGACGGCCGCGCTGAGGCATCTGCAGAAGGACCAGGGCGAGGGAGGCCAACAAAGATGGCCGTTTCCTGGCCTGGATGACCCAGGAGTAGCGCGAGCGGGAAGATGGGGCAACAGGAGAAAAGCAAGTACAGTCCCCACCTTGGAGAGGAGTGAGCCCTCCCCCGTCTGTCAGATGACACAGAGATGGCTTCTGGGGCTGGTTGGGCTTATGGCTGGCTGTGCATTAAGCCTACTAAGTATAAAAATAAGTACCAGTTTCTGGGTGCCAGGCAAGGTGCTAAACTCCGGGTTATAACTCCGTTAATCGTCAGGATACCCTCCAGAGGTGGTGGCTGCTATCGTGAGACTCAGCACTTTGTGGTCACCCAGCAGGTGAGTGGAGCCAGGACTTCTGCTCAAATAATTTCAGTCTACTTTCAGTCTATTTCATTGTTTCACTAGAATCAACCCTGCAAAGTCGTAGAGAGCTCCAGAAGCAACTTTTGATTTTGGCAACAACTTTCTCCCTTGGTCTTCGTTTTCAAGGCAGAAGTGCACTTGCTCTTGGCTACAGACAGAGTGGGCAGGCCTGAAGGGCTGGCCTTGGACCCATCTCTTTCTGGGTTTGTGGAAGATAGGAGAACGTGAAGTTTGGAGGCAGCGGAGGGAAGGGCACTTGAGAGTACAGGCAAGAGAGAAACTGACATGGAAGAGTGAGTTCTAAGGAGGCCGGGACTACAGCATCTGCCCCTTTGCTGTGCCTGCCCCTGCCCCTGCCCCGCCCTGACACCCCCTCAGCTCACCTCTCCTTTTCGCTGTTGCAAAGGAAGCTGCCAAAGGGGGAGGCATAGGCGTGCTCAAACAGCGCCAACAGCAGCCCCTCCCCAAATTCCAGCGACAGCGGGAACTGGCGACCCAGCTGCCACACGCAGTCGAGGAAGAGGAGAAAGGTGGGCGCCTCGTGCTTGGGGCGGGCGTGGGAGAAGGCCGAGTGGGCACAGCGCAGCTGGAAGGGGTGGCCGGCCTGGGGAGGGGGCAGAGTGATGGGCACAAGGAGGCAGGGGTTCTGGGTGGTAGGGCAGGGCTGGGAAGGGGTGGCCACTTACCTGGATCCACTCGCGCTCCACCAGCTCCTGGAATCCATCCATGGTCCGGCTCAAGGGATCCAGAATGAGTTGGGCGAGTGAAGTCACGAGCAGGGTGCTGTCCGTGCCTTCGGCCCCGTGCACCAGGATGCAGGCCCCTTCCCTGTGGGCCCAGTGCTTGTCAAGAGCAGCTGAGTCCTTCCCCGCTGGGTGTGGCGGGACAGGGATGGCAAGGGCCCACTTCTCAGCTGCACTTGCTGTCTGAGTCCTGATTTTGTGCCGGGGGTTGGTAGCCCTTCTCATCCCACTCCTGCCCCATAGACAGGGCTTCTACCTCTCCATGCCCTGGGCGGCCAGGCAGGCGGTGCTCAGTGCCTCCTTCACGTGCGCCAGCCAGCGGCAGCCCTCCAGCCGACTGAGCCAGCGGTCCATGCTCTGCTCCAGGTCCCCGCAGGCCTCGACCAGGCGCACAAAACTCTCCTGTAGGGGCCGCCCCCTGGGCAAATGAGAGTCTGGTCATCCTTCCCCCAGCCCAAGTTCTTGGTAAGGGCAGTCTAGGAGCAGATGATCCGGACCCGTGAGGGAGACACAGAAGCCTCTGGAAGCCCCCAAGGGACACAGGACCCTTTGGGAGCCCAGTCTCAGGGAACACAAAACCCAGTGCAGCGCTCCCAATCTGATGGGAACGATTCTGCATCGAGTGTTTCCCAGGCCAGCTGGGGAGAGCTCGTGTGTCTGCACACGCAGCAGGACATGCAGCCCTCTGGGGAAGCAGAACGCCCTGGCAAGCTCCCAGCTCGACAGAAGTGTTACCACATCCTTGAAATTCTTCATCTGATGGGAGCCCCCGTCTGACAAGAGAAACACGACCCTCGGGGGTCTGCACCTGCTGCTACCTCCCAGAAGCTGCCCTGCTCAGTCACCGGTGACCTCCTCCCAGGAAATCCAGTGGAGATTTCTTTTGGCCCAGTTGTGCTCTGGCATTGCGTTCCCTTCCACCTCATCTCTCCACTCCCACTTCATACTCTATACTTTTTTTTTTTCTTTTAAGCTTTATTTATTTATTTATTTATTTGTAAGAGTTGCAGACAGAGGTCTCCAATCTGCTGGTTCACTTCCTGGATGGCTACAATAGCCAGGGCCAGGCCGGGCCAGGCCAAAGCAAGGAGCCAGGAGTCTGTTCCCGGTACAGAGGCCCAAACACTTGGCCCACCTTCCACTGCTTTTCCCAGGCCATTAGCAGGGAGAGAGTTTGGAAGTGGAGCAGCCAGGACCAGAACTGGTGCCCATATGGGATGCTAGTGTGGCAGGGGCAGCTTTACCCCCTACATCACAATGCTGGCCCCATTCTCTATACTCTTATCATGGTGAGTGCTCAGCTCCCCAAACAGGACAAGTAGTGAGGCTCTCTCTGCACCCATGCCCATACAGTTCCCTGCACCTGGAATGTCCTCCCTCCTATGTCCTCGGGTCCCAGCTAAGGCATCCTGTCCATTCCTCCATTCACCCGTTCCTCCTCTGTGCCGCTGCTTCTCACTCCACTCTAATTTCCACTCCCTTCCCCTCGCTCGTGTGTGGGCTGGCCGCCGTGGCAGCCCCTGTGCTCGGTGTTGAGTGAATAAGTGGTTAAGCAAGAGGCTTTTATTTTAGCTAAAGCAGTCTATTCTTTAAAACACACACACACACACACACACACACACACACACACAAACCCTTCCTCAGGGGCGTTTGGCACAGAGGGTAAGAAGCCTCTTGGGACCCCCACATCCCATATGAGATGAGTTGGAGTCCAGGCTCCACTTCCAACTGGACATTCCACTGCTGACGTGCACCCTGGGAGGCAGAGGTGATGAGGCACAAGTACTTGGGTACCTGACGCATGAGTGGGAGACCCGCCTCAAGTTCCCAGCCTGGCCCAGTCCCAACTGTTGTGGGCATTTGGAGAATGGACCAGTGTGTGGAAGATCTGTCTCTGCCTTTTCATAGGAATAAAAAGAAAGGGAGAGAAAAGATGAAAAAGAAGAATGTGCCCATTAAAAAACTTAAAAACCTCCCTCAGAACCTCTTACTTCTACCAGCACCTGGAGACAGCAGAAACGTGCAGGCGTGTGTGTGTGTGTGTGTGTGTGTAGGTTGCTCCAGGCACAGTTAGAGGTGTGTGTGTGTGTGTGTGTGTGTGTGTGTAGTTTGCTCCAGGCACAGTTAAGTGCTAGAGGATAATGCACTCTCCGTGGGATGTGCAAGGTTCCTAGCGCCTCCCTCAACTATGAGGAGTTCTGCAGGAGAGAGCCTGGAGAAGAGATAAAGGCCCCTTGCCTCTCCAGGGGCCGGTGCAGCCGTTTCCAGCCAGGGTAGGCGGCCTTGGCCTCCGTGCCGCCGCCAGTCATGCGGGCCTGTTTAGCAGCCTGGGCAGAGCGCGTGTCAATGATGAAGCCCCGGGCCCCAGGGCGAGCTCCCACCAGCACAGCCCGCAGCAGCTCCTCGTCCTCAGCGCAGCGCCGCTTCTGGGGACCGGTCAGGGGCTGGCTGGAGCGCAGCAGAGCCTACGGACAGGGACTCAGCTCCGGAAGCTGCACCCAGCCAGCCCACGATCAGGGCGCAGGGGTCTACACACGGGAGCGGGCTAGAGGAGGCAGGGGCGCGGGGACCTCGGGGGCGGAATTCGCAAGGCCTCTGGCCGGGTCTCGCGGAGGGGAGGGACCCTATGAGACCGTGGGCAGGTCCTGGGGCGACAGAATGGATTAAGCTTCGAGGGGCGCAGCAGGCCGGGGGCGGGGCCGGGGCAGCAGAGGGCGGGGAGGGAGGCGGTGGGGCCCAGGGCGGAGTGGGGGCGGGGCTCACGGTGCCGTTGCGGGCGTGGTGGTAGCTGAGCACTGGGAAGCGACCTCCCTGGCGGAAGCCGGCGCTGCGCGCCAGGGCTTGGTCGTCCACCGAGTGAGGCACGATCAAGGCGCGGGGGTAACTGGGACACAAGCTGAAGTCCTCGTTCACCTCGCTCAGCCGCCACGCGTTGGTCTGTGGTGCAGGGAGGGGTGAGAGCCAGACCTAGGGCACCCAGTGAGTGCCCTGTCCCCATCCCCCGCGCCCCTTCCTGGCAGGACCCCGAGGGCCCCTCGACCGCGCCCACCTCGCGAGCTACTCGCTGGTAGTAGCGCTCGGGCGGGTGGAAGTGCCAGGCGTCGCCCAGTCTGAGACCCTTGGGACGGTAGAAGAACGGAAAGGAGGTGATGACCGATTCCAGAGAGGACAACGCCTGGGGAAGGAAGGCAAGGGCTCTGGGAACTGTCGCAATCGTCCCCACGCCGCCCTGTCCAGCCCTGGGCTCCTCAGCTTCCGCCCTTCCAGGACCGCAGGGCACCCTGCGGCCCCCTGTGCTCCGGGCTAACGCTGGACGCGGAGCTCCTGGCGCACAGCAGCCCCCATGGACTGCCCTCCGCACGGGTTGGGGTAGCTCCAGGGCAGCCCCCGGCACACCTCGATGGAGCGGGCGATATCCAGCGTCGCCTCCACGCCCTCTATGTCCAGCTGCAGCACCCGCAGGTCCTTACAGCGCAGCGTGATGGTGCCCGAGTCTCCCGCGACCCTGGGGGAGGGACGGGCCCAGGCTCAGCGTCTCCCGCCCAGCCTGGGGAGAGGAAACGCGCTGTCGGGCGGGAGAGCGCCGGCCGCCCCTGCGCCTCCCTCCCCCTCCGCTCCGCTGCCGCGGGGACGCCCCCACCACGTCTCACCGCTTCTCGATGGAGTCCACGCTGCGCAACAGCAGCAGCCACAGGTCCGGACTCGCCTCGGTCCCCGGGGACAGCAGCAGGTGGTGGCTGGTGACGCACAGCGTGCCTCGCAGCGGGGGCGCCTCTGGGCCCCGCAGGAGCTCGGCTTGGGCCCGGCCGGTGCGGATCAGCTCCGAGAACTCCATCCCGCGGGCCGGGGCCCGGGAGCCCAGCAGGACCGGCTCTGGGAGCGCGAGGCGGGGCGGGCACGGGCTTCGGAAGGGACAGGAACTGGCTGGGCAGCTGGCGACGCCGGCAGGACAGCTGTTAAGGAGGACCCTTTGGAGGACGGGGTCTCCCAGGAATTCTCCCTTCGCTTGCCACCATCTCTTAGCGGGGCCCCTGGGCAGGGCCTGTTAAAAAACCTCACTTTCGTCATCAGTGAAATGGGAAGAGCCATCTGGCCGGAAGCCTGGGCCTCAGGAGTCACAGCGGTTTTCGTCCTTTTAAAGCTCAGGGGTGCTGGGGCGCTCCGGGAAGTAGTACAAGGAGAGAAAGTCAGCCATCTCCTCCTCTGTGCCCCCCCCCCCATAGCTGGAAAGTGTGGGTATGACTGGGAACTGCCTACTTCCTCCCATAACCCTGATCTTGGGTGGGGGAAATCCCTCGGTCCACCTTAAACGCAAGCAGCTGTGTGGCTGGCTCCCCTCCCCCTCCACAGCTGGAAGTGCCCCCCTTGCTGGCCACCCCAGCCTTTACCACTCCATCCTGCCGCCTAGGCAATGACCTGGGGCCCAGAGAAGGCCCAGGCAGGTTCTGTGTACAGGACTTCCAGTCTGGTAGGAGACACCCCTAAGCCAGTAAAGCCACAGTGGGGTTTCAACTGACCTGATGGAGGACTCTACCACCCACCCAGCTTCCCTACAGCTTTTTCGTTTCTTTTCCTTAAAATTATTTATTTACTTATTTTATTTGAAAGGCAGAGAGACAGAGAGAGCTCTTCCATCCTCTGGCTCACTCCCCCAAATGCCTGCCACAGCAGGGGCTGGGTCAGGCCAAAGCCTGGGGCAAGGAACTCCATCTGGGTCTCCCAAGTGGGTGGCAGGGAGCCAAGCGCCGCCTCTCAGGGTGCCCATCAGCAGGGAGCTGGGTCTGAGGTGGAGGCACTGGGACTAGAACCAGACACGTGGAAGTGTGATCCAGGTGGGTCCCTAAAGGCCATGCTGAGTGCCCGCCCTTAATTTTTCATTTCTTCAGCTCTGATGCCCACCCTGTGCTGAGTGCTGATTACTAAGAAAAAGACCAACTCCAGCCTTCAAAGGCCCTGGGGCTGGCACTGCGGCGCAGAGGCCTGGGCTGCTGCTTGCAATGACAGAGTCTACCTCAGAGGGCTGGTGGAGTCCTGGTTGCTCTCCTACTGACCCGGCTTCCTGCTGATGTCCCTGGGAAGGCAGCACATGATGGCGCAGGTACTGGGTCCCCTGCCGCCCATGTGGGAGACCAAGATGGAGTTCCTGGCTCCTGACTTCCACTTGGCCCCATCCTAGCTGTTGTCACCATTTGGGGAATGAACCAGTGAAAGGAAGATCTCTCTCTCTCTCTCTCTCTCTCTCTGTCCCACTGCCTTTAAAATAAATGCATCTTAAAAAATAAAAAGTGGAAGGGCCTTCTAGTTCCAGACATCTGTTTGCATTTTTAAAAACTTGATTAAAAAGTCATTTTGCGGTTGGTCTTTCACCGTGGCTTTCTCTCTTTGCGCATCCCCTGCAGCCTTTCTCTCCCGCACAGTGGCCGTGGCCGTGGCGGCACATAGGTGCTGGGCGTTTGGACGCAGTGGAGCGAGGGTTTTGGTGGGTCCAGGGGTCATTCTTGCTCCTGCTTCTTCACACTTGGTCCCAGACGTGTGTGTGTGTGTGTGTGAGTTACAGACAGCATGTGCAACAGATACATGCAAAGACGTTTCAAATGAAAAAAAAGGTGAAATCATAGATGTGATATAGGCAGGCAGATAGGACAACACTGATATTAGGTTTGTGAGCTGGAAGACTACACCTTCACCATGCCCATGTGTGATCTCATTCCCTACCTGACTACACCTATGCACCCCCCTCCAACCTGACTAAATAACCACTCCCCTTTGGAAGTAAATAAAAGGTCTGTAACACAGCCTCCCCCCCCCCCCCCCCCCGCCATGGACCTCAGTTGCCTTTGCTGCCCGCACCTTCAGGGCACATGGCCTTAAGGGTTCCTACCCTGGCAGAGGGCACCGCTTTTTTTTTTTTTTTTTTAAATTTCCCCAGGCCGAGTTGGCCACTGAGAGAGGAGAGAGAAAAGTTTTTCCTTTTTTTTCCGTTGGTTCCCCCCCCCAACCGGCCGCCGCGGCTTGGTGCCGTTACAAGTTGGCCCCCGCGCCCAATCCCAAAGCAAGGAGCCAGGTGCTTCTCCTGGTCTCCCATGTGGGTGCAGGGCCCAAGGACTTGGGCCATCCTCCACTGCCCTCCCGGGCCACAGCAGAGAGCTGGACTGGAAGAGGAGCAACCAGGACAGAATCCGGCGCCCCGACTGGGACTAGAACCTGGGGTGCCTGCACTGCAGCTGCTTTTAACCAAAGCCTTGCTGCACGTGGCTCTCTGCTCAATATAGCCCCAGTTTAATCTCTGGACTTTTCTTTCCCCCTTAAATCCCTTACTCTCCTATGCATTTCTCTCACTGAATAAAAAGTTTAAAAACTTACCATGCTGCTTGATCTGTTTGAGTCAGTATTCAGAATTATTCTCTGAATTCATGGCAAGGACCCACACAGTTTAATTTTGGGAAATATTAATAAGCAAATCAGTATCAGATGGATTCCCATAATATAAACATAAAATCGGAACCACTGTATGAAACCGGACACGAAAAAAGCACCGATCGTAAACTTTCAGACTGGTGTCCTCGGCAGGGATGAGAATCCGGTAGCAAAGCCAATGACCGGGGCCTCCCATACATACTGAGCCGGAAACTCCGGGGTGGGCCCAGCAGTCTCATTTAGTGAGCTTTTCAGGTGCTTCTGATCTGGGCTAAAGTTTACAAAAAAGGTTACAAAAAGGTGAAACTGATCTGCACTGTCAGGAGTGAGGACAGCGCCACCCTTAGGAAGGCAGTGATGTGGCCAGGAGTGCGGGGAGTTTCCCTGGGTGTGACAGCACTCTGGTTGTTGGATCTGAGGTGTGATGGGCCTGGGAGACCTCACAAGCCTTATGTTTATGCTACATGTATTTTGCTGTGTTATATTGCAATACAAAGTTTGAAGCAGGGCACTGCTCTGGCTGACGCCCTGGGAGGAGCCAGGGGAGGGAGCCCTAGGGGCCCGCGCACAGCTCTGCCCTTCCTCTGCAGGCAGCCCTGGAGGAAGCCACAAGGAATCGGAAGCTCTTTAGAGCTGGAAATCAGCGATATGTCCCCAACAGAGGCCCAGGGATGGTCAGTGACTTGTCCAAGGTCCCACAGACGCTGGTCCCGTGCTGAAGGGCTGGTGTCCTGTCTGAGGACCAGGACAGCTGGTCGGTCTCCACCCTGCTCCCGGGTCCCTTAACCTGGGCCGTGGGCAAAGGGCCAAGATGCTGGTGTGAATGATGCTTTTCTTATCCTGGAGCGACTTCCTTTCTGGGAACTGGGTGTCTCCTTCTGGGCAAAGACAATTAAAAATCATCCAAGGGGCCAAAAGAGCAGGGCCCCTCCTGCTCCCACCGGATGGGCATCACGTGGCTCTCGGGTGAGCAGCCCAGGAAAATTCCAGCCCCTGCACACTCGGCCTCTGCTCACACAGCCCAGCACACGCTGCCTCCTTGGCCCACCTTGAACGTCCACCATCGAGCCCTCTCCTTGGCACGGTCTTTCACTCTTGGTTTCTGCCACCATCCCCTCCCTGGGCAACACTGCCGGGTCACTCACCTCAAACCCACCATGTCGCTGGGGACACTGAAGTTCCAGGCAGTGGGCGAGGATGACGAGGAGGAGGAGGAGAGCCTGGACTCTGTGAAGGCACTGACGGCCAAGCTGCAGTTGCACACCCGGCGGCCCTCGTACCTGGAGTGGACGGCCCGGGTCCAGAGCCAGGCCTGGCACGGGGCCCAAGCTAGACCTGGGCCCGGGGCATCTGGGGCCATCTGCGGCTTTGACTCAATGGACTCCGCCCTTGAGTGGCTCCGAGGCCAGCTGGTAAGTGTGGTGAGGCCCGCAGCCTTGCTTGGGGCCTCCCAGCCAGTCCTTGTTAGGGCCCGAGACTATGGGTGTAGGGAGGGGATAAGAAGGGACCCTAACCCCAGCGGATGCCTACTGCTGTGTCCTGGAGCTCACTGCATTCTCACCCCGACATTTGCAAAGATAAAGATGTCCCGGCTCCAAGATTCTGCTCAGCGGATCTGGGAAGGGGCCCCAGGCATCTGGACCACTAGTGTGGAGCAGGAGCTGAGACATAGGGAGATAGCGAGCTGGGGTGAGAGGCGGCTAGGACCACACCACCAGCGCAGTGGTCTAGAGGGTTGGCCCGAAGGGAGGAATGGGGCTGATGGTCGAGGGCTGCTCCGGCGGGCTCACGCCCCCTGTCGGCCACAGCAGGAGATGCAGGCGCAAGACCGGCAGCTGGCAGGGCAGCTGCTGCGGCTGAGGGCGCAGCTGCACCGGCTGAAGATGGACCAAGCCTGTCACCTACACCAGGAGCTGCTGGACGACGCCGAGCGGGAGCTGGAGCTGGAGCCTGGGGCGGGCCTGGCCCTGGCTCCACCACTGCGGCACCTGGGCCTCACGCGCATGAACATCAGCGCGCGCCGCTTCACTCTGTGTTGAGCCGCCCTCCCCGGGGAGCCCCTTTCCCAGGCTGCCTGTGGAGAGTTCAGACCCCCAGGCTCCTCCGTAAATGCTGTCCCTGTTCCCATCAAGGTCTCAGCCATGGTTTGTGCAGCCCAAGGCCGCTGCCTGGCTGTGCTCTGTTGCTGGGCCCCCGGGGTTCTTGTGCAGGAGCGGTGGCCTGGCGCACCTTGGGCTTGGAGATGGACCCCCGGCGCCCTTCCCCCCACAGCTCCAGTTCTGTTTCTCTGCCGTATGGGGAGATCAGAAGTGGGAAAGAACTTAACATCCTGAGTCATGCCCCTGGGAGGAGGCTGTGGTAGCCCTGAGTTCAAAGGCAGCTCCTCCTTGCACTTCAGGCCTTGAGGAGGCTCCTTAACCCCGTCCTCTGCTTTCTAAGATGGAGATGCTGGCTCTCACTCCGTAGGAAGCTGGATGTGTCGCGAGTGGGCTGGCGGTGACGGTGCATGCCCGCGGAGGCCGGGAGACGGGCCCAGCGCTGCTCCCGTGCACACGGTGGGGGCCGATGGGCCTGCACCTGGCCTGGAGGCCCCACTCTAGCTTTTTGCTTTGTGCCTCGTGGCCTCTGTTTCCGTGTGACACTCTTTGTCTGACTTTCCAACTCAGGCTTCCTCTTGCCCCCACCCATTTCCTGCCCCCCCCCCAGCAGCTGAGGTGCGCACAGCATCAACTTCCACCTCACAAACCCCAACAGCGTTCTGAGGCTCCCCTCCCCCCGCCTGCCGCCAACGAAGCGTTTGGAGGCGCTGCCGGGGATGCATTTAGACTTTCCTCCTGATGGGGTCAAGGCCCGGTTCTTCTTTATTTTTAATAAAGCTGGAGACATCACAACACTTAATTTTTTCCAGAGTTATTATTTATTTGAAGGCAGAGTGACACAGAGAGAGGGAGAGAATCTTCCATCCACTGGTTCACTCCCTAGAGTCTGCAATGGCCGGGGGGGCCAGTCTGAAGTCAGGAGCCCAGAACTCCATCCAGATCTCCCATGAGGGTGGCAGGGGCCCAGATACTTGGACAATCTTCCGCTTCTTTCCCAAGCACATTAGCAGGGAGCTGAAGCAGAAGCAGGGCAGCTACGACTTGAGCCGGTACTATATGGGCTGCTAGTGTTGCAGGCAGCGGCTTAACCTGTTTGGTCCAGAGCATCGGCTCCCAAGGCCCAGTTCTGGATCTTGCTGAAAGCTACCTGGACCTCCTCCTATCACTGGTGACGTGGCCCTCGGCCCACAACGGGTGCCACCCTCCGCCTGCCCTCAGGAAATGAAGATCAGGGCCTCCCTGCTGCTCCTGACAAGGTCCTTGCCTCCTGCCGGCAGCAGATAGTATGGCTGGTCTGCCGCTGTGCCGGGGCGCCTGGGCGGCCGTGTGGATTCTGTCTTCCACCTGTTGCAGGAGACGGCACCAGGTCCCACTCCTCTGCCAGGCGCTGTGGCCTTGCCGCTCCTGAATCAGAGGTGTCGCTGTACTCCCCACCGCCTGCCAGTGGCTCTCTGCCCTCTGCATGGCATGGGGTTGTCTGCCTGCCTCCTGAAACAACCTGTTGTCCTATGAGCTGTCTGTAAGGGGGCTGGCAGCCTCCCCCAAACCTACCCTCAGACTGCAATTTGGCTTTTGTGTCCTGAGACACCTAGGTCTGGTTCTGTGGGTGCCCTGTAGCAGCCACTGGGGCCCGGCGTGCGACCATGACATGTGTGGTCTTCTTTCTGACCCTGGCGGGATGTTGCCTCTGCTGAGTCTGTGATGTTACGTTTGCTGTCTGATTGAAGCCAAAAGGTCACTCAGGCTGCTTGCCTCCTGTTCAGTGGGGTCAAAGGCTGCCCTTGACCCTCCAGCCCATGTGCACCCTGGAGAGCAGGATTTTTTCAAATGCCATATTTTAGAGTGGCTTGTTTTTTGTGGGTTTTTTTTTTTTGTTCTCAACACACACGTCTCACACACACACACACACAGATCATCCATCCACTGGTACCCTCCCCAAATGGCTGGGTCAGGCTGAAGCCAGGAACAAGGAACCAGGAACTCCACCCTGGTCTCCCACGTGGGTGGCCATCATGTACTGGATCAGAAATGAGGCTTCAGGACTCTAATGGGCAGTCAGGACACAAGCTGGTCTTCCCCTGGAATGCCGCGGCGCCGGCCCCTCCCCGCAACTTTAAACCTCCAAGTGCCACTACAGAGTGAGCAGGGTCTGGTCTTGAGATGTCTGAGACCCCCAGGGTGGAGGGGTAGGGAGCCATGGTGGCAGGAAGCTTGGGGTGTTGGAGGCTTGTGGTTGGGCTGCTGGGGCCCGGTTGGCTGTGAAGGCCTCAGGAGGAGGCAGGAAGTCAGGGTGGAACGTGGGCGCGGGGCGGCAGGTGGTGGCGGCGAGGACGGCAGCGAGGGGAGCTGCTGCCGCGGCTGGGCGGCCGGGCCGGGCTGGGAGGACCATGTGAATGGGGCCAGGGGGCTCCCAGGCTGGGCAGGTAAGGAGCGCGGGGAACCGGGAGGCCTGGCAGTGCGGGGGGCCAGGCCCTGCACGGATGCAGCACTCTTTCAGACTGGGAGAGAAGAGCCTGCAGGAGGTCAGGCAGGGGCTTGGGCCAGGGGCTCTTGTCTCGGCCCCACCTCCCTGGGGCATGCTGCTGGCAGATCCACTGCGCGGACATCAGGAATCACTAAGCCCTTTGGGAGCCATCCAGGCCGGCATTTTGTCCTGTGAGGATGAGGCTCCAGGCACCCAGAGAGGGCCAGACAGCTGCCCACAGACTGTCAGCAAAGCAGTGGCAGAGTCTAGGCTGGGACCCTGCACCCCCCATGATGGAGCAGGCGACCCCATGAATTCTTTTAGTTCCTGGGACAGACCTCAGAAGAAAGAATTTCCTGAAAGAGAGAGAAGGGAGAGAGGAGGTGCCTAGGGCTCAGAGAAGAGATGCTGGCCTTGGCGACTGTCATAGCTGGACGGAACGGGGCCTCTGCGTGGGGCAGGGGACAGCGAGGGGAGACTGGTCATCTGGGATGAAATCTCCGGGGCACTGGTTCCGTCAGACTCTGGGAAGCTTGAGGCGACAGATGAGGCTGGAGAGGGAAGAGGAAGGACTATTTTTATCCAGACGGAGTGTAGCGACCCGGAGCAAGGGACTTCTGACCTCACAGCTGGAAAGGGACCATGCCTGCCCTTGCCAAGGGTCACAGCGTGCTGGCCTCTTCCTGCTGCAGCCCCGGCGTCAGGGGCAGGGGCAGGGGCAGGGGGTCTTGCCGATTCCTGCTGCAAACTCCAGGGAGGTGGAGACCCAGGGAGGCACCCTCAGCTGCCTGCCACCCCCTTACTCTCTAACTTTGAGCTTGCAGATCTGGGGGGCAGCCCCCACCCCAGCCGACTTTCCAGGCTTCCCTGCCTCACTGGAACTTCTCCTGACACAAACTTTCCGCCCTGTTAGTCTGTCCTTGCCTGTCTCCAGCTACAAGGCCTGTGGCCTCTTGTGGGGGCTGGGGCTGGGGAGCCCACTAGCTCTCCCCAGGGTGCTGGGGGGGTGCCCATCCGCCACTGGACAGGCACACACTGTCCCCTCCACCCGACAGCTGGCTCAGACAGGGTCTTGGGGGCTCAAGGTCAAAGGCTCTTCTCCAAGAAAGAAAGGGCCAAGTGGAGAGGAGCAGAGAACAGTCTGAGGGGCCCAAGGGGCTGGGGTGGGGGAATGGAGGAGGAGGCTTCCCTCCAGGGGGCTGAAAAGCTTCTGGGAGTTCTGAGGACAAAAGCCCCTTCTGGAGAGCACCTAGGAGGTGAAGCCAAGGCTGTGGTCCCTGAGTCCTGTTCCTTGCGGACTGTGGGGGTAGGGACCTCAGAGCAAGGCCGAAGGTAGGGGAGCCCCTGGGTGTGGTGTGGTGTGAAGATCATGCAGTTTGGGGTCAGGCAGACCTGAGTACAATTCCGGTTCTGCCATTTCCTTGTGAGCTCACCCCTCTGAACTTCAGTTTGCCTCTCGGTAAAACGGCCACAGAAGCCCCTCCCCGTGCAGTGCTGCTGGGGAGCTGTGGCCGGGAGGGGCGGAGCAGGTGTTTTGGGAAGGGTAGGCATTCCTGGCCTCCTGAAGATGGTGCACCACAAGCAGGACTGCCCGTGTCCAGAACGCGCCTAATGGGGCCTTGGCAGCACCGTGCACCGCCCGTTCCCTCACCTTTGCAGTGTGGCTTTGCTTGCTTCCTGTACAGGGTGTGAGAACCCAGGCAGGCCGGGTTCTGAGTTGCCAGAGTTTCCCTTGGCAACAGGTCCCTCACCTAGACACACACACGCGCGCACACCCATGCCCTCTCACCCTGACCATTGTAGGAAAACGCATCTGTGCAGGTGTGTCAGCCGCAGGGCAGGGATGACACAGACGACACAAGCTGGGCCCTACAAAAATTCTAAAAAAAATTATTTATTTGAAAGAGTTACACAGAGAGGTAGAGAGACGTCTTCCATCCAGTGGTTCACTCTCCAATGGCCGCAAGACCAGAGCTGAGCTTGATCCGAATCCTGGAGCCTAGAGCCAGGAGCCAGGAGCTTCTTCCGGGTCTCCCATGTGGGTGCAGGAACCCAAGGACTTGGGCCGTCTTCTACTGCTTTCTCAGATGCATTAGCAGGGAGCTGAATTGGAAGTGGAGCAGCCGGGACTCAAACTGGCACCCATATGGGATGCCAGTGCTGTAGGCCAGGGCTTTAACCCACTGTGCCACAGCGCCAGCCCTGGGTCCTACAAATTCATGCACATCCTCCAGTAGACAGCTTCAAGGTCAAGCTCACTGCAGCCACAACAATTCTGGGCTACTGGTGTGTTGGGGATGGGGGCTTGCAGGACCAAGACACCAACCAGGAATCTGGCCTCAGACGAACAACCCTGGTGTTGGCCGCAAAGCACCTGAGCTGTGTTTCCAAGGCTGGCACCAAGGCACCTGGAAAGTGAGGGCTCAGAGCCCGACCTACTGTCGGCCACCCCACTGGAGACAAGGACAGGAGGGGCAGGGCAGGGCAGCCTGGGGAGTTGAGAACTCCTCAAATGATGGTGTCTCTTGGCAGAGTTTTTGTGTTGGTGGTGGGTTTGTTGCTTTTGCTTTTTTTTTTTTTTTTTTTTGCAATTATAAAATTAGCACACGGCTATTTTGAAAAACTCAAATGGCACGAGGCATATAAAGAAGTACCCGAAATACAGCCAGCCCCCTCCACTCCCACTGCGGAGACGTGCTCACCGAGGCCGGCTTCGTGTGCGCCATTGCAGATGTCCCTTTGTGTGGCCCTGAGAAGCGGAGCTGTTAGGAACCTGAGTCTCCGGAGCCAGACAGACCAGGTTCAGCTCCATCACTCATTGGTTTATTATGAGGGCTCAGGCAAATCACGTTACTGGGTTTGGCCCTCGGGTTTCGCGTCTGTAAAATGGGGATAATAGCACCTACTTCATAGGATTACATGAAGCAATGCAAATGAAGGAGTAAGAGAACCCTCCATATACACAGATTCAGATGCAAATGGACGTCTCCTCTGCGTTTTGTTCTCTGGGATATCTTACTATGACTTCATCCTTTTTTAATGGTTTTAGCTAAATATTAGCTTGGTCAATGGGAAATGGAGGTAATTTTGAGATGCTGCTTCCTGGAAAGTATTGCTGTTTTGTGTGGCTGTGTTGTTGAGAGTCACAGATGTTACTGCTCAGCCAGCTACGGAGAGGCAGGACAGCTCCCTGCAAAGTGCAGAGAGCTGCTGGAGGGGACCCGTCTGCCACACGGGACAGAGCCAAGCGGTGGGGACCTCTCTGCTCAGCTGTGTGTCCTCAGCTCTGTGTCAGAGCCTGCCTCATAGCAGGTACCCGTATGGTATATTATTTA